TAAGCGATCAGTTGTATCCATTTCATTTAAATTTAGAGCTTTCATGTCTTGCTCGATTGTTTGCGACCAGAACTTCTTTGGACGGCCTTTGGGACGTGTGCCAGGTACTTCAACATCTGCAAGAGAAGTTATGGCACTGTTTCCACTTCGTTTGACATGACCAAACCACCGCAGACGGTGTTGCCGGCATTCGTCCTTTATATCATCTAAACCAGCACGACGCAGGATTTCGGTAGATTTGATGTGGTCCTTCAGACTAATTCGTTGCATCCATCGGAGCATTTTCATGTCGGTTCGTTGAAGTTGTTGTTCCAGTTTGGTTGTCATTGGCCATGTTTCTGCACCATATAACAACACCGGATGTATCTCAGTTTTATAAAGTCTTGATCGTAGTGGTGGTGGGATGTCACGCCGCGTCAATATAGAGGCAAGGAGATGCCATTTATTCCAGGCTGCACGTATGCGTGCTCGAACGACAGCTTCAGCTGTTCCAGTACAATCTAGAACATCCCCTAGATATTGAATCGATGTGACTTTCTTTACCTTAATGGCTTCAAAAACATTGCTATTTCGAATTTAAAAAACCTGCACTGAAGATGATTTGTGAAAAATCGAAATAAGGCCTATAATAATTTTATTTTCAATGGAATTGAACAATTTCCAGAAAAGTCCAGTAAGGAAAATTGAAAAGACAAAATTTAAATCGATTAATGCCGAAAATTCGGTAGAATTCATACAATACTGTATAGAATTTATATTTATATACATTCAGTTGCAATACATTTATATTTGTATTCATATGTATGTAAATGTTTTTGTGTGTATTTAAAATTGAGGAATTAATTTTAGTTTATGTATTTGTTTCAAGTATATACAATAGATTTTATTGCATGTTATTTCAAGTTTGATTTGATTCAACACTCGCTGAACACGCACAAGGTCTTACTTGAACTGTCCGAAGATATTGTGTCAGTACATGAATCCTCTTTATGAGCCCAACCAGTCTGTCCTCTGGCCATCTGTTCTGCCTCACTCGCTGGTTTGTTGTTATTGGTTTGTTTTAGTTTGTTGTTGGTTTGTTGTCGTTGGTTTGTGGGCTGTTTGTTGTTGCTGGTTTGTTGTTGGTTTGTTGCTGGTTTGTTAATGGTCTGTTGTTGGTTTGCTGTTGGTTTGTTGCGGGCTTGTTGTTGGTTTTTTGTGGAAAATTTTGGAAAACTAACTATCTCGTGCATATATTGCTGAGGAAGATTGAAGTGAGTTATTAGGTCAGGTCAGCTAAATAAAATATTTTATATTGTTTGTTCATATAATAGGGTTTATTCTCTTTATTCTTTCCAAATTGTTGGGTGCCAGTGAGGTACTTGTTGATTTTTAGCATGTGTTAGCTAATTGTATATGCAGTGAAACAAAATTGGTCCTTATGTCACACTTGAATGATAAAAGTTGAGAGCATTTAAGCCTGATGAGGTACTTATTTCTTACGGAGATTTAAATAAACATACAAAGATGAATTTCATGCTACTGTTTGGGAATAAAATGATTTTTCTAGATTTGTAAAAATCTTTTGTGAAAATAACTTGAACGCACTCGATTGACTTGATTGAATGTATTTTGTGTTTAGTTGTTGCAAATAATGTGAATTTGTAATGATGAGAGGCGTTAAATAAGTTGAAACGATGAACCAATGGCAGCAACTTTGGACAAGTGTGTACCAGTGCTGGCAGAGGTTTCTACCTATACAAACTGAAATATGGGATGAAATCGTTCAAATCAAGCAAGATAACAAAGAGATCAGGGCCACTGTTGTCAAGATGAAAAAGTATGTTGGTGTTGCTTTTGTTGATGTTGTCATGTCAAGATGAAAAAGTATGTTGGTGTTGCTTTTGTTAATGTTGTCAAGATGCAAAAGTATGTTGGTGTTGCTTTTGTTGATGTTGTCGATGCTTGCCATGCTGATGCTATTGTTAGACGTTGATTTGACTATGTTCGATGCTACGGTTGTTCAATCTGCTGATGTTGCTGATGTATTCATGAAACAATGAAACATAGGATTTTCTTATGTTGTTGTCATTTTTATGTTGTTTGCTGTCAGCGGTTTTGTTGTAATGTAATTTTAAGTATTAGTATTTAGTGTGTGCGTGCGTTTTGTGTCTATGCGTGTGCGTGCGTGTGCGTGCGTGTGTGCCTGTGCTGTGCATTTGGAGTTGTTCACGTCTAAATTTTAATTTTAAAGAATAACCTTCCATTCGTATATTCATCCACAATCTTTTTAGATATCTGGTGAAACTAGAGAAGGAAGCGTTGAACAGGGGATTGGTTGACGTGTCTTCCGAATGAATGAATAAATGAATGAATGAATTAATGAATGAATTGATTGATTGATTGATTGATTAATTGATTAATTAATTAATTACTGATTGAATGATAGTTTAATTGGTTAGTATGCTAATGGGTTGACTAAAACGAGAAGAAAACATTCTGCAGAAACGTCTGTTTAAATACACATGCTTTTATATCACTTCACAATTTATTAGGATCATTGAACAATTATTCCACATTTATTACTTTTCGTCTTTTCATATCGTTGTATAGTTATTATTGTTGCTAGGTGTTGTTGTTGTTAATATTAATTCAATGTGCAATGTGTGTATGTAGGTTAGGTACAACATCGGCTCTCTTTAAATGAAGAAGTGCACCAAAAATTTCAACTATATATCGTTAATTGTTTATATATATATATATATATATATATGTATATAATATATATAAAATATATATATATATATAGTTATATAAATACTATCGCTTGTGTATTTGTTGTGAAAATTGCAAATAAGATATTGACATTAAAGCTTAGTGCTCATGGTATTTGTGGTTGGGGCGTCGTTAATTGTGACTATTATTATATTATTATTATCGTTATTTCTATTATTATTATTATTATTGTATTTATATCGTATTGGCAGGTGCTAGGTGCTTTTAAATGAAAAGAATGGTCTTATTGGAATGTTTATTAAAATAATTTTATTAAAATAATTTTTCGCTATCATGCATTCCATACCAGCGCAGAACTGTTGTCTACTTAACTTACCTAGGCCTCCTGCTAACTAGCACTTTATTTAACCGACACACATTCATTCACATTCGATTCATATCGAATTCCACAATTACAAGTTTGAAACAGACTGCATACGAGCTAGAGATCATTTTATGATCGTGTGTGTGAGTAGAGCAACAACAATAAACGGATATTGTAATCCGGAAGAAATACTGGACACAACTCACAGTTACAAAGTTTAGCTTGGACGACAATAACTTTGAAAATTAATTTAAATAGTTTTTTGGCGTATTTAGATGAAATCAATTTATTTTAAATTTAATTTAAAAAGGTCAAAAAGAAAAAGGCTTGAATTAATTTTAAGTGTTGCAAATTATAATAAGCGCTTATGAAAATTTACCAATTTGAAACCAGCATTTTATCTCATGTCATCAATGCCAATGGCAATGCTTATGCAATTTTAATCAATATCATCTAGAGGTAAATTTGGTTGAAAATAAAGATGACGTCAATTTTTTTAAAAATACCGTTGCCTCATATAAGATATATAATAATAAAAGATTCATGAAAATCATTAAAATGAAACGAGGCTAACTAAAGGAACCAATAAAGAACTTTTTCGTTTTTTATTGTCTTATACTGTTAAATACTATTATACACGCGCTTGCATGGGCTTGCTCGTTTGTTTTATGCCAAAGTTGTGGATGTGATGACAGTAGAACAAACGTTTTTAAATGAAAACTTGACTGAATATGTATACGAATTAATTTAGTTATAAGAAATATAAACGAAAACTATGAAATCTCGCTCCCAATAAATTTAATTGAATAAAATAAAGGAATAAAAATAAATAAATAGGCACATTATGCTTGTGACGTGTGAAACATTCATCCGTTCTGTCCCACCGATAGCCAACATTAGTGATTGCCACCAATCAGAAGGTGACGAGTGTTGTAAATTAGAATTGTTAAAAAATTAATCCAAATAAAAAAATATTGAATTGAAACGTTGAAAAAATAAATTTCTTAAGGTACCAAGAAAATAAACGTCGTGACAATGTGACGAAAATAAATCATGACTAAATTTTATTACAAATCCGAACAGGATGAGTTAAGCAAGTGACTGACTAGAACTTGAAAAACGACATGTCTCTTAACTGATTTGAGGTATGGCCGTATGATAATGTAGGTCTTGAATTGACAGATGTGTTATTTTTGGTAATCAATCTCACATTTATGTTAACATTTTAGATTGGATTTAGAGATAAAGGAGTTGTAGAGCGACACTGAGGTCGGATTTAGCAGATAAGTGACTATATATGAGTGATTTTGAAATAAACCAGCAGCCATTTACACTGAAATAAGGTGTAATGGTTCAGATGTCTGCTGTGGTAATGACAGGGTTTGACTGCAAAGATCGCCGCCCACCACAGGCTGCTCACAGTTCGAGAATTCGCGTTAGAGATGAGCATGGGAACGAGAATTGTGGTAATCCCATGTAAATACACGGAAATTTTATGTATACTTACACGCTCTGTTTTTTTGTTGTTATTGCCTCGGAAAAATACTAAAGAAAAAATTTGAATAACTTAACAGACGTTGGTTATCAAATAAATAGTGAAGAGCATCAAAGATCAGCATATTTGTAGATAGGTACATGTTAAAAATTACTTTTAATCTCAGGATGATAATAATGGGCGGATATCAGTGTTAAAACATGACAATTTTAGCTCAAATAAAGGGTAATAACGTTATAAAAACGAATTAATTATGACTCGAAATGATTTCAAAAAGATGCGAATTTCTCTCATTAACCAAATTCTCAACATTCTGATCGCGTAGGCTATCGTAATAAAAGTTGTTCATGGGATAGACTTCATTCAGTGGTAGCAGTGATGATTTCCTTTTCATCCTCTTCATTTCTCTTCTCGTACGATCCCCAGTATTCTTACTGCCTGCTTCTTCTGTAAAATCATTTTCTTTTTCCTTTTTTTTATTCTTTGCTTTACTATGTTTGCCATCTTTTTTATTGACGGCCATCGGCTGCAAAACAGTAGGCAGCGTTGAGCTTTTTGTTGGAAACTTTGTAGGTGCTGCCTTAGCTGCATTGGTTGCAGTGTTTGTTGTAAACGAGGTTGCAGACGTAGAAAATGTGACTGACGGCTGAATTGTGTTGTACTTAAGTTGCTTCATGAAAGGCGTCAGGTAGTCTTTGATCCAGGACTGCAAGTGATGCATTAACTCAAATTATAATTAATTAAACATTATTAACGTTAACCATACCAGCAGAACACACAACCACATAAACGTTTACATCAAACTGAATCAACAATAATGGCGCGTAGAATGATTACCCCAGACGCTTGTTTGTACATCAGTCCATTTTTGGAGTATTGTTGTTCTGCTTCTGACGATGAACTGTTTTGGACATCAGTGGACCAAATGTTCTTTGTTCTGGAACTTGAATATATCCGATATTTTGATGCTTTCGACATTTTTCTGCCAGAAAAACAAATATTCGAAATATGTTTAATTTTTTTTTACATAAAAAATTATTTTAATTATATAAAAGAGCAAACGATTCATTCCATGCATAAGAAGTTTACGTCAGATAATTTCCTGAACTATCTCAACATTACTAATTTAGCAGAACCTGAAGCCACCTCACACTAAGGAGTATAAGACGCCGGGCTAAACTGAAAACGTCAGCTCAGCATTGTACTTTCATGAAGCTAAAAGTTTAATCACGCAAAAATTTGATACAATTATTTGAAGAAGCGCGAAGCTAACTTGTATGTAAGAAGAAGGATGATGATGATGATGAGTATGACGATGATAGAGATGGACAGTCCGAGAGCTAGAATCCAATCCAACCTTACTGAGAACTTCACGTGGTTGTCATCAGTGATGGTGGTCAGTAGTGTGGAGGCTGTTCTTGAGTGCTGCTGGATGCCAACCGTTGAATTCCATGGTCGTATCTCAACATTTGTATCCATGCCTGTTGGAGGATACTTTGAAGTGAAGATGTTGTCATGCTTGTCGTTATCATTTTTGTTCGGTGGTTGTGGTGCTGTTTTTAATGTGGTTGATGACGACGACGCTGGAGTCTGTTTCGAAGTGATCATCGATGGCGATGTTGTAGAAGTGACGTTCATTTTGTCGCACAACTTCGAAAAATTCGTTCTAATACTACTGAGTGATATGTCGGGCTGTAAATAATGGCAAAGACATCCCGACGAGATTGATGAGGAAGATGGTGAATGATTTAACAGGCGGTCCGTCAACTCAACGAACTTTTTATTTTTGAATGAATGTTCGAAACTTTTGAATAAATTTACCTTGCTTAGAAATGAAACTTCCATTGTGAGTGTGATCAGCTGATATTTAACGAAAAGAATTAAAAAATTAGGACTATGGTTTACATCACAGAATTCAAAAAATCAGACACATCTATTTGCTAGGATATTCTAATTACTCCAACATGATATCACGTGAAGTTTTTGTGACTTTGCAAGGTGCCTGAAGCAGTAATTAAAACGACAATCCAACACAACACAGTCGTATCAATGATTATAATATATATTTGAGGTGCTATTATTTATTCACTGTTTGAGTTTAGTTACTTCAATTTTCAACTTCAATGTAAAAATATATTAAATAAAAAAATTAAAAATTATATTAAATCTTCGGTTTAAAATCATTTTTACAATTCTAATTAATGTGATTTTAAAAGATGTGAACTAATTAAACCATGCCAACAATAACAATAACAACAACAACACCAACAAACAACAACACCTGTATTAATTAATATCGCTCACCTGGATCGTATGCATCATTCGCTTTGTTTTATTGCGAATGATGTAGCCAGGTACACAAACGCTTCTCTTCGTATTGAAAGCTCAAACGCAAATATTGAAATTAAGCATTACAACATTTAACACTCATATACTTAGAATACTGAGAAATAATTAAAATTAAAGCATTGAAATAATGAAGTAAGATGATTGGTTGGTTGTTTTATGGAAATTAAAAATTAAATTTTCAAAATTTACAACGAATAAATCTATAATATTTGAAGGTGTTAAACAATTTTACGTTTATAGTAACCGCAGTCCCAAAAAAATTTTTTTCCTGTCATCTCATGACCAAGTTGCCACGTTTCCCCTGCCTGACCACATTCACAGCCTCATCATGCCTTTTCCACTAGTCACCTACATAAATATATCGACAAGGACTTGTAACTAGTGAATGAGACTAGTTTAAATAACTGTTTAAATTCTCTTCAGTTCATGTCCAACGCTGTTCACTCGCTAAGCTGTAAAAGTGGCAAGATTTAAAAAAACCACCCGCCAGAACACGTTGGCAGAGTGCATCATGTCCTTATAAACTGTTTATTATCTCCACTCAAAAAAGATATTGTGACGAAGAGTGGCGGGTTCGTTGGCTGATCATAGGAATGCATTTGAATCTTCAGTTAATACAAAGTGCAAAACTTTGGAAGGCAAATAGACGCATCTGTATACTTACTGTTCGAAATTACGAAAAAACGTCAAACATCCCATTCCTACTGAAAAGTTTCGATCCGTTACGTGCAACGCACTTTACAAAATAGGATAGACGATAAAAAGCCTTCAATTTCCTTTCCATATTCATTTAGCTACGCAGTCTGAAAATTAATTAATAAATAATAAACTTATAAAACCAATTGAGCCAAATTTTCAATATTGAAAAAAACTTGGTCATCGAGTAGAACGTCACATTTGGATGGCTAGCTATATTTGCAAGCGCAGTTTCTGTACGTATGTGTTAATTGTGAACACCTGTAACATCAGTTTTGTCGAATCACGCAGAAGTGGGCAAACCATTCATTCGAGGGCCACATTAAGAACTTTTTCAGCTTTGGACTACTTTATACCACACACACACACACACACACACACACACACACACACACACACACACACACACACACACACACACACACAAACACACACACACACACACAAACACACACACACACATATATATATATATGTATATTACATACATACATATACACATATACTCGTGTATATACTTGAACTACTTAATTCCTTTATAAAATAAGCATTTACTTTTGAAGGTGCTGAAAAAATTGCATTTTCCACATCAGTTTCAGAAGTGTTAGGCCTAATTTTTAAGATACGGAGCCAGGCAATTTGTCGTCATTCTTGTTGGCTTAACTTAAGATGTATATTATTCAATTAAGAAAATATTCACAAAAACATGTGGTCCCAAATATTCAGAAAAGTTTGACAAGTTTTTAAATAAGCCCTGACGATTACAAAGTTTTAATGCAGTAAAAATACAATATTTTGCGCAATGATTTATAAAATTTGGCTAGCAATTAACTGCTTGAAATTTGAAATTAAGTGAATAAACTCAAGCGTTAGTTTGTTCCAACGTGAAACGTTCGCGAGCCGCAACTTGTACGCCTCTGGTCCAACCCGCTTACGAACATGCATCTCGAAAAGAATTAGTTCCCGTTTAACATTTTTGTGCCATTCCAAATAGGAAAGTGTATTTGTTTCACATGCTTCCATACGCGCGTGCACGCACACAACACACACGTTACGGAAGAAATATAATATAAAAACAATTATATATCATGTATATAATAATAATCTAGGCTTATCGAATCAGAAAGCAAAGAGAATAATAATTGACGATGAGTTAGGTTGGTTGGTTAGTTGATTGATTGCTTTTTCGATTGGTTGATTAGTTGTCATTATTGGTTGTAAGAGATGCTATGTTATGTTCACAAAAGTTATTTTCTGTATCAACTTGGTCCTGGGTATGACATAAAACTGCATCCACGCTGCCTTGCGTGCTTTTGAGCGAAAGGCTAGGCCCACCGCTTATAACTGGTGGTTGTCGTCAGGATGGGTGTCCGGATGTAAAAACTTTTCCCCAAATTATTCTTATGCCATCACAAAAAAAAAAACAACGGCCCCTAGTCCCCAGAAGGCCTTAAGCGGTCAAGGGATGCCAAGAATCCCTGGGAAGTATGCAATAGCGGAGGGATGTTGCAGAAAAATTCAGAATGGCCCCTCTATGGTACTTAAACTTGGAACGCTCAATGTTGGATCACTGACTGGCCGCAGCATAGAAATCGCAGAAATGCTCGAGCGTAGAAGGATTGACATCTGCTGCCTTCAGGAAACCCGATGGAAATCGAATGGTGTCTGTCATGTCAACTCAGACAAAAAAAAAATATAAACAATTCTGGAATGGTCAAAAGACGGCCAAAAATGGTGTTGGAATTTTTGTCAGAGAACCGCTAGCCCAAGAAGTACTGGATATTAAAAGGATTAGTTCACGTCTCATGTGGATCAAGCTTCGCATAGAAAAGCAAACATTGATTATTTTTTCTGCATACGCACCACAGACAGGCGAATCAGAAGAGATGAAAAATGACTTCTGGACTGCATTCTCTGACACCATCTCAACAATACCAAAATCTGAAACAATCCTGATTGGAGGCGATCCCAATGGCCACGTTGGAGAGAAAACAGATGGTTTTGACAACGTACATGGGTTTTGTTTACTGAACACATATTTTAGAAAGAGGTTGGAACATCTCATAACATACAAAAGTGGACCATCAGCCACGCAAATTGATTTCTTCGCTGTCAAGCAACAACATCGAAGGCTATTCAAAAACGTCAAAGTTATACCTGGCGAATCATGTGTCGCCCAACATAGACTCCTTGTGGCAGACCTGGTTGTCGAACTGTCAAAACATAAGTCTAAACAAATGCCTCGGAGAATCAAAACGTGGAAGCTGAAAAGCAATATTCATCGAGAAAAATTTCAACAGATTGTCGCCACACAGACCACCAATCGCAAGCCAGTACAGATTGGAGTACATACAAAACCGTTTTAATGAACGCTGCAACTACAGTTTGTGGGAAAACTGGTACAAAACGTCAACATGAACGTGACACTTGGTGGTGGAATGACAGTGTACAAAATGCGATAGCTGAAAAAAAAGTTGCATACAAGCAATGGCAAAAATCAAAGTCTGTTGATGACCATAAAATTTTCCGTGAGAAGAACAACTATGCAAGACGTCAAGTTGCACTGACTCGGACAGATCAGTGCAGAGAGTGGCTCACTAAAAGCAAAGGTGAACAAATGAAATCTCTGTATCGTATAGCAAAACAAGCAAAGCGTACGAAAAAAGACAGTTGGTGCCTCATGTACCAAAAACGACAAAAATGAGATGGTTCTTGAACAAGATGAGATCAAGCTACAGTGGAGAGAATACTTCAACCGTCTGTTAAACGAAACAAATCCCATCAATGTTAACTTTGACGCTCCACCCATCGAAGGTCCGATTCCAGACATCACTGTAGAGGAGCTTACAGAAGCTCTAAAAGCTATGAAGAATGGAAAGGCAGCAGGGCCCTCTGGACTCACAAATGACATTATCAAAGCATCTGGTACTGCAGGTATCCAAACGTTACTACAACTTTGCCGTGAAATCTGGAGAAATTGCTCAATGCCGACTGAATGGAACTATAGCATGACAGTCCCGCTATAAAAAGGCAAAGATGATCCATTGAACTGTTCACCATATCGGAGTATACGTCTGTTAGAACACTCCCTGATCATTGAGATCCCAAATCATTGAGAGAAGATTAACGTCGTGCATCACAATCGGAAATTATCAATTTGGTTTTCTAGCGGGGAAATCAATAATTGATGCAATTCACATCCTTCGGCAACTGCAAGAGAAGTACCTCGCAAAGCATCAACAACTATCACATATTTTTGTAGACTTTGAAAAAGCATTTGATTGAGTTCCCCGTGAAGCAATCAGGTGGAGTCCTCGTTCGACACTCATTCCCAGAAATCTCCGTTCGACTGTGAATGGAAATGTATACGAATACTAAGACTCTGTCAGGCACAACGGTTGGAAACACAGATCCATTTGACATCGGCGTTGGAGATCACCAAGGCTCGATTCTCAGTCCACTTTTATTTATAACGGTGATGGAAGAAATCACAAAACCGATATGCACTGGTGACATTTGGAATCTAGTATATGCTGATGATATCGTTTTAACAGCCACGTCTGAGCAGAATGCAGCACAGATGTTTGAAGATTGGAACACGAGACTCGCCGATCATGGATTCAAAGTCAACATCAGCAAAACCAAAGCAGTGAACCCATCCAATCCACAGCTACTGGACGATGGCCCTGTTAAGTTTGTAAAGCTGGTGTAGGTAACAATTCAATCAAGTGTCAGCGGTGTAACCAGTGGTGTCACAAACGTTGTTCAAAAATAGTTGGTACTTTATCTAAAGTGTCCAATTTTGTTTGTCCTGCTTGCATCAATCCACAACAACAAATTCAAAATAGCACTGTTTTTGAAGCCATTAAAAGAGAAAGTCACATCGTTTCAATATCTAGGGGATGTTCTGGATTGTACTGGAACAGCTGAAGCTGCCGTTCGAGCACGCATACGTGCAGCCTGGAATAAATGGCATCTCCTTGCCTCTATATTGACGCGGCGTGACATCTCACTACCACTACGATCAAGACTTTATAAATCTGTGATACGTCCGGTGTTGTTATATGGTGCAGAAACATGGCCAATGAGAACCAAACTGGAACAACAACTTCAACGAACCGACATGACAATGCTCCGATGGATGCAACGAATTAGTCTGAAGGACCACATCAAATCTACCGAAATCCTGCGTCGTGCTGATTTAGATGATATAAAGGACGAATGCCGGCAACACCGTCTGCGGTGGTTTGGTCATGTCAAACGAAGTGGAAACAGTGCCATAACTTCTCTTGCAGATGTTGAAGTACCTGGCACACGTCCCAAAGGCCGTCCAAAGAATCGAGCAAGACATGAAAGCTCTAAATTTAAATGAAATGGATACAACTGATCGTCTAATTTGGCGCAAAAAGTTGATGTCAAAGAAAACAACGTCCTACCTCGGGAAACCGGGTCTCTGGACGCAAAACGGAGATTGATTGATATATCATGTATATATTCATACACGTGCAAACTTTGTCGATGAATCTGTTAGTAACCTGTCGACGCTCAGTATTAAAAATGCATTTCCTCTTAAAACAAAAAATTGTGCGATAATTATTAAACCTTCAAAATGAGATTTGAGCAACTGAAAAAAAATCATATTGAGAAAGGAGGCATCAGAAAAACGTTGAACCTTTGTGAAAAGGCGTGCGAATTGAAATATTTATATTTGTTTTCCATCACTATACATTTCATGTGTTAGCTTTCTCTGCGACCGTTTTTTGAACTTGCTCGCAAGAAAATGGAAAGAACGAACACGTAGAAAACTGGAAAGTGAATTCATATTAATTCAATATTTCCAAGATAAATCTTTGAATTATAATCAATCGTCATATAAAAATACATAAATAAAATGAGTAGACTCGGATGTGTACGTACAATTAATATGATGCATGACTGAAAATTGTAACGATGGAGTTGTGACGATGGATGGATGTTGAAGTAACAGTGAGAAGAGCGGGTACAAATGCACGTCCGTAGACCGTGGCAAACAACATACATCAGTTGCACTTTAGTTTATTAACACTCACATTCATGACAAGGACACAATAAAAATGCTCCTTGACACATACAACTGATTTAAGTCCAGTTATCAGAAGCGTGAAAGTTCCAACTAATTCAACATTTATCAAAGGAGTGCTGGAACATATGATTAAATGAAAAAAGTTATTGGCTGATTCACTCAGAATGGTTTCAATGACAGAATTATGTGCGTGAAATACTGAAACAAGTCTTACTGTGAATTTAGTTCATTTAAATATGACGGCACACAAGAATCACACATCTTCGTACTGACGCATGGATACAATGCACAAAATATTGTAAACAGAAGAGTGGCACATCATGCAAGCACTCAACGTATGGCTTGAAAAATAAATACACGCCATCAACATTTGAAAATTTTTTAGAAAGAAAACTTCGCATTGTAAAAAAATAGGTAATCAAATAAAAAAAACCAACCCATAGCTGTTTAATTTAATAACATTATTATTTATAATGAACCATAATCATGTTGCTAGGAAATTCACAATAATGACCATTTTACATTTAAATAAATTTTTGTACTTTTAATCTGTCTCGTCAGATGGAGAAAAACTGTTAGCTATATTGTATGTAAGTACATATAATACATCTTCTCAATTTTTCTATTGTATTTTTGTATCACATTGAAGTACGCCGCATAAATTCATTATGAATACAATGCTATAACAAAATGCAAACATGGCACCGTCACCTTCTAGAAGGTACCACTATGAGGAAATGAACATTATTTAGTTTGTTTTTAACAGAGCGCAATCATTTCCTCTATCATTACAGAAAGGTGACAAATCAGCACAAGCGTGTAAAAAATATTCTAAGAAAGTGAAAGATTTCAGTATCAAACTAACAAGAACCATTTGTCATTTTCAGCCCATTTACATACAAGCAGAAAACTTGCACAGTGTGAAGCATCACAAAAACAACGGATCAATCAATCAATCAATCAATCAATCAATCAATCAATCAATCAATCAATCAATCAATCAATCAATCAATCAATCGGCCAACCAATGAAATGAATTAACGAATGTGAAGTTGTATTTATATCAGTCAGCATAAGAAGCACGCTGCACAATGAACTCAACGATAGATGGTACATTCAATCTATACAATGCAGTACAAAAACAATTAATCTGAAGACAGACAGACAACGTTATTTAAATAAATGAAACTTTTCCTCCATAAGATTATAATAACATATACGAGAAACCCTTTAGGATAAATGAAACTACAAAGACATCAAATCTAACGATGAATGATACAAACCTAGTTCAGAGAATCAACATAAACGTACGCAAACAATGCCATTTCTATTTAAAATAATAATGTCATAATAACATTTCTGAAAAATTATAATATTTTAAGATAATTGGCAATACACGTTGATGCTGTCGATCAGCCAGCCGTCCATCAAGCCAATCATTTGGCGCCGGCTTTTTCACTTTCCCCTGTTCCAGATTTTATTAGTGGACAAATTATTCTTAAAATTACAGAATTAATAATAATTATGCAAACGAAAACAGAAGATAGCATCAGAACGAGTAACAGAACGAAAACAGAAGATAGCATGAGAACGAGTAACAGAAGGTTCAAATAACTATATTCTAAACAAAAACATCCACAAATAGTTTCATTCTTGCTTGGCTTCATTACTATTCTCTATTTTCTCTCACGATAGTAATTTAATTTTTCTCCCCACTTAACACTTAAAAACGATTCTTCCGAATTTGTAACACAGAAGAGACCAATTAGTAATACACAGAAATAAATAGATAAATAAATACATACATGACAACACAAATGCATGTATAATATATATGATGATATTTACTTTGATGTGGTTGTGAGCCATTCGGCCCTGATCTGAGCACCAAGTCTATGTATCGCTTATCTACAATAAATGTACAATTCACAATTCGATTAATAATGCAGTAGCATGATTTATTAAAAAATTGGTTGGAAGCAAAATGAAAGTACCTAGAATGTTCTTATTTTTCTTCATGGCCTCTAGGGCATCCTCATGAGATTGGAAGTCAACACTGGCATTGCCTGCATTTTAATACTTATCTGATTACAATTATCTGATTGCAATAGAGTATCATGAAATCTCGATCTAACAACAACAGAAAAACTATGATGATGAAACGTGACAGCTTCTAGTAAAGTTTAGTTTATAAAATTTGGTGGCTATCCCAAGAATAATTGAAAAAGATATTTATTGAATTAGAGTAAAAGCCAAATGCAGGTCTTGCTCTCCTGTTCAATTTTGTGGAATTCACTGTGGAATGTTCACCTCAATAACTAAATCAACCTCCCCTTTATAATTCATACCTCTCTACTAACACTAAGAATGAACATTTAGCTATACAAATCAGCAAAATTGGAATTGCTTAAAGCATTTAGCATGGCCACCTATTGAGAAAAATTGTCAAAAAAGAAAGGAACGAAAGAAGGAAATACCTGAGGGCCGCCCAGAATGATTGAGATGAATCTTCACATCAACCAGCGACAGTGGTTCAAAAAACTTGAAGAAAATATTATGGTTATTTGAAAATGCATTGAAGATCATACCACATGGCATTGGTATAAAAATAAAATGGTTCCTATTGAAAATTAAATTATATCTTCAATTAAACATTCTTTTGTACTGTTTCCAAATGTTTTAATAAATATGCACTTATACATATTTATTAAATGAACATGCACGCAATTCCGTGTCATTGAAAACGCTTCTAGAGTACAAATTAATGACCCGTTCATTTCGTATAACATCTGCATCACAAAAAACAATTATCATTAGTACATTTTGATGCACAGACACTGCTAGAGGAATTCAACAGAAGCTCAACAAACCCCAGCAATATCCTTATCTGTAGCAGCAAAAGGCAGTCCCTTCATAAATATGCTGTGACCCGTAGAACTTTCATGAAAGGTTGGTTTGAATTTGTATCCACCAATAAAAGGCCGCTTTCCTCCTCTGAAGTTTGATTGGTTACCATAATAACCACCACCACCACCACCATATTGGAAGCCTCCATTGGCCATTGGGTAGTAACCTCCTCTACCATAGCCGCCCCTACTCCTCATGTAGCCCTGATTGGCCACATAACCATTATTTTGGTACATCGGATTCATGTTGTTGTTTGATTGATAATCTGTGAGGTGTGAAGAAACGTGTGATGAACAATGGAAAATAAATATTTAATTAAATGAACAGCCAAAAATAAATATTGAATCCTCCATCGACTCCAATGGTGAGAGTAAATAAATTAGTGAAAAATAAATAAATGTACGATCAAGATGATGGTGAATGAAAAAATTAACATCAGCTTCATACAAGGTTTGAGAAAATCTTGACTGCTAATATGAGAAAAGCACTAGGAAAGAAATGACAACAGATCTATAACAAAGTTGTCTCTTAAATATCTATCATGAGTAGTCTGAGCATTACTACATGGCCTCAAAGCTTCACAACGGCACAAATAAAACTAATTAAATTTGCTCATCTCAAAACACGAAATCGTGATAGACTCAGAAAAATTTGAGCTTTATTTGCTTGCTGGTTTCTTTAGGAATATTCATACAGATATATATCATCGATAAAAACCTCCAGAACACACTACATAGTGTTCAAAATTAGACCTGGATGACTATTAGTATAACATGCTCTATTTATAGTTCATTCATTAAATTGTGTTAAAGAAATCCAGGTCACATTCTGAATACTAATATTGTACGTTTGGGAAATTTTGCTGATACCATCAACAAAAAATATGATAGACTAAAATGACACTAACCTTTTTGAAATCTATTTGGTTTGTTATTTTGATATGAATGTTGATAATACCCCCCACGACCGCCCATGTAACCCCCTCTCATGAAAAAAGGACCATTCCCAAGCATAGGTGCATTGAAGTTGTTGTACGCACCAAAGTGGTAGGATTGGTATCTGTATTCAAGTGATCAAAGACAATTAGCTCCCTTGAATAATTACTAACATGTGCCATGTCTCTTGCAGTTACGCGATGGCCTGACTTGAATACTGTCTCTCCGAAACTCAGAGACTATCATGAGCAATGGGTGTATGGTTATTTGAAAATGCACCAAAGATCTCTTACTACATGGCATTGGTATAAAAATAAAATGGTTCCTATTGAAAATTAAATTATATCATGTGGTGTGAAAAGTTTAAATTGCACATGAGGACTCGAATGGGCGTTAGGGTTATAAACACATAAACTCTACATACTAATTAGAATATTTGAAAAAGTAAAAATACAACCAGGTAAATTCGATTAAGATCAACAAAACATATATTTGTGTGTGTGGTTGTGTGCGTGTATGTAAAATTAAAGTATGGAGGTGATCACTTGTTTGAACGATTGAGAGCTGCCGACAAATCTTCAACAGAGCACTGAAATACTTCAATGTACCTACAAATTGAATATTTTCTGAAATTTTTTGCTTTCAAAGTAATATGAACAGAATCAGGTTTTAATAAAAATTAAATATTTAAATTACAAAAACATTTATGATAAGAATAGTCTTCAGTTAGTTTATTTTATACCAACAACACTCATTCATCAAGCAGCATACACTATAGTACACATGCACACGCGCACACAATATTTTTGAAGATAAAATACAAGACATTGCATTAAAAAAAAAATAAAAATTAATAATTAGAATGGAATAGAAACCTGTGGGCAATGGCTTGCTTATGTTTGGTGAGTGCCTTCTCGATGGATTCCTGTGATATGAACTGAACATACCCCTCCCCTGTACATCTTCCCAGATGATCTGTTATGAAGGTAATCCCATTCGGTGCTATTTCCAAGCCTGGAGAACAATCAAGTTTAATTGGATCATTCATCTGTTTTATAATCCAGACACTCTCGTCCAACTCTATTTTAGCATAAATAATGAATAAATCTTAAACACACACCCATACACTAAATATCTGTGAAATTTTGAAATCATATACATAAAAATAAGAAGCATTAGAAATGATCTGATAAAATGAATTATTATAAAGTAGTATGAATAACTTCAGATGGAACATCATTAACAGCACCCCATTTATAATATGTGAGTTAAGTAAAATCTTCTTTATTGATGGATTAGTTTGATACTACTATCATTTTTATTAAAAATAGTAAACTAAACATTAATCAATATTTTATAAAATCTCCCGTATTGCCAGTTCATCATCATACAAATGAAATTTTGAAGATAGTAATTAACATTAGAGCTTTGGAAGCAATGGGCTGCTGTGAAATTATCAGTGGATCTCGCCAATGATGAATTTAAAAGTTTGAATTTGGAATATCGGGTCACTGGGGCAGACATGGATGTATGAAATGTTGAAGGACTTAGCTAGGTTTAGATAAGATTTAATTATATAGTTCCAAATTTGATGGACAAAAAATGAGGAATTAAACAAACAAACAATTATATGGTCAGCTAGGCAGGTGAAAGGGGTATATTCATCCGTCTGTAGAGTTGGTATGGTGCTTGGAAATAAAGAAAGTCACTAATAAAATATAATAAAGTGAATAAAAAAAGATGCATGTCAGACTTTGTTACCAGCAAGACAAATGAGAGATGTTGCTGTTATAGTAACTCATGTTGCAGCAACAATAACTCAAGTGGAGTGGTTGACTGAATTAAAAATCTCAACAGTCCCCCTCAAAAACAGGATCAGAGAGGAACATTGATTGTTTGATTGAAATGAATGAAATTTATCATTATAAAAAAATACAAGGTGGTCAAAAACATGAACAAAACTGGTTTTATTGACAATAATAATGCTTTTCTGGCAGAACCAAAAAACTATGTTTAGGCACTGAATATCTTTTGGTAATAAATTGCGCTCATAAACCAAAAAATATAGTCTGAAAAAATGTATGTCTATAACAATGTGCCTGAAAAAGTAAAAAAGTTGAAAATATCACCGATAGTGAGTTAATAAAAAAATAAATTTATCCATTAATATATTTATTAAATTAAGAAAAAAATCAAATTGAACACAAAATTGGAAACCTGAGAAAAAGTTTGCAACTTCCTCTTTTGAGCAGCTGAAAGGCAACCCCCTAAGTTTGACGATGGGTACATTTTTCGACTTTCCATTCATTGGGACAGATTGATTTGTTCTTTTCAAGGCAAATTCCATTTCAGATCTTTTCGCTTTGTGAACTAGTTAAAAAATTAGTAAGAAATATCATGTAAATTGTGAATGGTTAAACTGGACATGACACTCGAAGAAATTTATTTAGAAGAATGTTTACGTGAAGCCAGCTACTATTAACTTCCATTACATTTTAAAATGATTTTAAATAAATGAATAATTGTGTTTGCCAGATAGTGGTTGGTTTAGTAATATTTTAGTTCCACCTGATTGCATATAACTTCCAGAAATGCAATATTACAAGAACCCACGTAACAGTAGATTATAAAATTTATTGTTGGGTCACATCGGCTATCATCTTAACATAGGCAGTTAAGAAAAATAAATTTAGCATGTTATTAAGATTTAAATATTGCTATTTTATTAATAAAACTCTATGCAACTCTTTTGATATTATGCCAAACATTTTTATGATATCACAGGCTGGTAACTAAAGTTTTAGCACAAACTTATGAACACCTATTCAACATGTCACTTGGTGCTTGTTTATAATAATAACAATGTAATTTTACATAGTGCCATGGCAAGCAAGTGAAGCGCATTATTATTTTAACAACAAACACACAGTGTATACATACACGTGAATTGACCTGACACACACTTTTGTATGTGCTAGGTGGGGATTTCTTTACATTTGAATGTGGACACTGCATCATTACATCATCGTGCCATATTGCTATATATATATGCTTCATATTGGGTTTCTATGCAAAATTCACACTATATTACATAAAATGCTGAGGGTTAGTCAAATGTTTTTTTTACTAAACTTCCAAATTTTGTTCACCTAAAATTATTTGCATTTATGAATTGATTTATTACATTCACATGATATTTATTTTAGCAACAAGCAATTGCAATGCAATCATTTACACCCGGAAAAACTTGATTGTTCGGAAAATTGTAAATACACATTGCATGCCATACATTTATGCCTTGCACACTAAAACCATACAAGCAAGTTTGAGTAGTTTTTTGTTTTTTTTTTAACTTTATAATAAAACTAAAAAGAAGAGAAAATATAATTTTTTTGCCTAATTTTAAAGTTTTATTTTGTAAAGCATCAATTGTCTATTTAGTTTAAAAAAAAGTTTAACATTTAGTCAGTTTAAATTAATTGTTTTCTATATTTGTGACTTAATTATTGGTTGTAACTTTTGTGTTATTTTGATTTTAGTTTGGCAATAGGAAATGCTATTTGAATAATGATAATAATAATAATAAAATAAATATTAATTTATAAAAAAAATATTGTTCTGAATGGAAATAGCTCATCTACATAATATTATAACGGTATGAAAGTGTCTGACCATCTACATATCGCTTTCCCAGATGTTTCTTATTTTTTGCAATGGCCTTATTGACATCCTCCTCACTGCTGAGTTCGACATAGGCTTCTCCTGTCGACCGGCCATCATACAAACGAATTATGTGCACATTTTCTTCTGTCAACTTACAATCTTTAATAAAATTATTCATAAGTTATTATTTTTATTGAAATTTTTTTTAATTTAACAAAGGCAAACTTTCAAAATCTAAAACTTGCGAACATTATCTAACCTTCCAAAAACCTTACAATTTCTGCAGAATCAGCAGACCATGGTAAACCTCTCAAGCGAACAATGAAATCCGTTTCGCTCATTTTAAGATGCTTTCTCTGCAATGAAAAAACGTATTGAATGACTAAACAATTGCATTCTACTGAATGAACAAAAACGAGATTCAAATCAGGTAGGAAAAAATGGAACCTCTCTTGTCTGGCTAGGCTCTCTAGTATAGTAGGCTGGAACAAGCAATGCGGTGTTTGCTACTAATTGATAGTTAAGTTGTGAAAAAAGTCAAAATTACAAATTACATACAATTAGAAAGCAAAAAAATTGAACATTGTCGTAAACAGAACTACGGATTCAGAAACGTAACTAAAAAATAACTTCAAATCAAATTAAAAAAAAAAACCATACAATGGTCGAAAATGGAGGTAACATTGATCAAAGATCAATTAAAATTAACAGCGCTAAGAAACAATGACAAAACATTTCATATTTTAGCGCATCAATTATGTCTACGATAAATTTATTTCAACTTGTCAAATTTTTGTTTTACTTTTCCTACATCTTTATAATTAACTAAAAATTATTTTGATTTTATAAAGGTTACAAAAGGTTGAAGGTTTATTTCAACCTTCATAGGTTCAGATAAATTAACACAATCATCGAAAACGTGCTAAACGACCATGTAAACGACGTGTCATCACACACGATGCATACGTTAAGCAGAGGATTTTTTGTCATATTCGAACCCGGTTACTGCACGCTCAGGCGACTTTAACGAAATAGTGTTTTAAAAATCTGGTCTAAAACAATATAAAAGCCAATCAACATTCAGTCAACCAGACAACTTTCATCTAAACAAAATTTTAAACAGAAACACATTGAGACCAAATCTAAATAATGAAAGGGTTTTAGAAGTAAGAGAGCAAAAGGTTAAGAATTCCATAAAAACGGACCAGAGTAAGAGAAATCAACATTCAGTCAACCAGACAACATTCATCTAAAAATTTTTTTTAAACAGAAACACTTTGAGACCAAATCTAAATAATGAAAGGGATTTAGAAACACATTGAGACCAAATCTAAATAATGAAAGGGTTTTAGAAGTAAGAGAGCAAAAGGTTAAGAATTCCATAAAAACGGACCAGAGTAAGAGAAATCAACATTCAGTCAACCAGACAACATTCATCTAAAAATTTTTTTTAAACAGAAACACTTTGAGACCAAATCTAAATAATGAAAGGGATTCAGAGGTAAAAGCAAAAGGTAAAGAATTCCATAAAAACGGACCAGATTAAGAGAAATCAGACTTAACAAACGAGTGCTTAACAGGATGGGAAGATCCCTGACCAGAACTATTAGGTTTAGATCATATTGTTTGTTATCTAATTGAAATTTAAACAACAGATTGCATAGTTTAAAGACAATTATATTTTTAAGAGGTAGCCAATAGACATCTGCGTCTCGTATCGTAATGATGCAGTGTCCACATTCAAATGTAAAGATATGAGATATCGTTATTGAAACGAGATGACTTTTGAAAAATCTCGTTTCAATAATAGCCAATGTAATAGTTTAAAAAAACAGAGAAGCACGAGAAACCAAGCAAGCAGCAGAATTGAAAGCTTTAGTTAAAGAGTATAAAGAGTTCAAATATTTTAACACATGACATTTGATAGCCCGATTAGTAATTTTCATGAAAAGTTAATTTAATGTTTATCAATTTTCAGATAGTATAGTGCAGCATAGAATGAACACAGATTGGATATTTAATTTTTAATTTAGTTAATTTATTTAATATGAATTAATTTTCCCTGTTATTAATTAAATTAGTTGCAAACATTTCGAGCGTTATTATTTTATTCAATATCGATAATTTTATGATAGATGAAAGATGAAAATTTATGTAACAAACTATTTTAATTTTAGAACAATATTTTATTTCAATAAAATAAATATTATTTAAAAATTTATTATTTAAATAAAATAAAAGTTATTTAAAATAACAAATAAAAAAAACAATCATGTCGTTTGGCACTGAACTCCAGAGTAAGACATCTCATGAGGCCCTCTTGGGATTACAGGATTTTGAAATAAAATTTTTGGAGCACATCAAAAGATGCATCTTCCAGCGAATCAAAATCGATCGCGATCACTCATTGGCTCTCAGTTCACTGGCTTCACAAATCATCAAATTTGATAATGCCGAATTCGAAACACCAATGTCAAAAGTACATTTTATTTCTTACAAATTACAGTTATTTAATTTTTTTAATTAAATTTTAAGATTTTTTATTATTCATTCAACGGTTAGTTTGTTTAATATATAAATCTAAAACCTTCTGGCCATTTAAAAAAAATTAAATTACTTTAATTAATTTTAATTTAAGATTTGAAAGTTTAATTATGATGTTTAATTTTCATTATGCCAAGAGCCAAGGAATCACATCTCAACAACTTAAACTGAAATAATTTTAAAAAATAACAAAATTTAATTTTTTTTTAAGTTTTTTGACTAGTACTTTACTAATGAAAAATTAGATTAATTATATCATAAGTGAGTAGGGATTGTAACATTGTAATTGTATCCACTATTACAATATTACATGCAAGCATGTCATATGCAGTGCATATCATGTGCTGATGGTTAATTTTAATTCATTAAGTTTACATGTTTTGGTTTTTTTTATCTAATTATTTAATTATTTAATTAATTAATTATTTTATTATTTAACCAACTAAAATAAATGAAAAATATTGCAATTATTTTTGTCAGCATAGTTTTTGTTAAATTTAATAGATGATACAGAACAATCTATTTTAAAATTGCATGAGTGTTTTTTGTTATAAAATGATGAAAATAATTTCAAAAGGCTAAAGAATGGGTGGCTTAATGCAAATATTATATAAATAACTTAATAATTGATGTCAGCTGTGATGGGCCCATAAAAACTATTGAAATGTTTTAATTTGTTGGTAAACATTGTAATCCCAACATTTGCTACTTTGATCATTTGGTATGTCCTATTTATGCAATATTATCAGACTTTTAGAACTTATATACGATTTTTTTGTGGAAATATTCTCATGCTTTTATTTTCTTTGTTGTTGTTGTTGCTGTTGTTGTTGCTAGCTACTGCTATGAGAGTGAGTTGAATTTATTTTTAAAGGTTATGTCTTGGACCTTGTAACATTTGTTTAGTTTTGAGGACCTGACTGTGTTTTTTGGTCTAGGAAAAAAGTTACCCATTATTGTGTGTTATCACAATGTTGTTTACTAATGTGCAACTAACCTATTAAGTTTGTAACTCTGTGTGTGCATAAAGTTTATTGGCGTTTAATCAGTTTTGTCTCATTATTGAGATTTCTAACTTCTTACCTACTGTGGGTAGTATGCTAATAATTACGGCTAATTTGCAAATGCAATGTTACATGATGGAGCTTGTTAATTTTAAGATTGCACATGCAGTTGGTGTTGTTGTTTGTCAGTAATCATTGTTGATTGTTAATGAAACTGCATGCAGGCCTGGTTGAACATCGGTCGAGAGATTGAGAATTACTCGAGACTACTGCACGATATGACAGACAAGGTTTGCGCTCAGAGTTTGGACAAATTGCAGCAGCTGATCAGTGAGAAGAAGCTGGTGAGGAAGATGTACCAGGAGGAGAGATGTCGGCTGGAAAGCATCTGCAAACAGGTTCATTTGTACGTTGTCTGCTGTGTTGCATGTTGTCATCATCATTCCAGTCTTGTGTGTCGTGTTGCTTGTTGTTGTTATCATTCCACTGAATTGTATAGATGAGGGAATTGTTAGATTTATCTGTTATAATGTTAAGCAGGTTGTTTGAAATCTGATTATTTTACATTGTAAATATAATCCTATGAAATTTGTACTAGAAGTTGTGGGCTGAATGCAAATAATTTGTATTTTATCCCAAATGAACTACTGTTCACAAGGCACTTTCAAGATTGCTGCACCCATAATGTTCTTCATTGCATGATTAATGAGTTATAAGCAGCAACTTTTTAGGGGTACTTCTTACAATTGGTTTTTTTACGTTGTATAAGCCCTTACACACACACACACACACACACACACACACACACACACACACACACACACACACACACACACACACACACACACACACACACACACACACACATACACACACAAACACACAAACACTCATGCACACAAATCTCTCTCTTTCTCTCTCTCTCACAACACACACTCACACACACGCACAAAACACACATATAATATATAATAGCTACATATACATATATAATTTTACTTGCATATATATGTATGTATGCATAGTAATAACTTAATGTATGCAAATGAATAAGAAGAAATTAAAAGTTGACAGTGGGTAAAGTCAAGATGATTGCAAAGAAGTTAAAATATTTGAGGCCCTTGAACAGTCAATAGGCAGTTGAATAAATGTATCAAAATTAATATTGAGTAAATTAAAGTGAAATAAAAGATTCATTAAATAATTAAAGTAAAACCGTTAATCTAAAATTAATTGGAATGAGTGAAAGAAAGGAGCGAAGTATTAAACTGCATATCGAACCAGATTGTTTTGTGGCGTGAATGAATGATGCGAGGAACAACAATCAGGGAAGGATGACTGAGTTCTGGAATAAGTAAAAATGTTAAAAAATGCAAGGAATGACTTTGTGGTGAATCATCTGCAAAGTTGATTGATAAGCTCTCTAAATGAGATGTTTGAATGAATTCAAAACAATGTAACCACAATTATTCCTGGCTATATAAGCAAGCATGCAATTTCGTCATCATTGAGATGTGCAATAATTATTATTTGTGATGCATTCATGGATCAATTTTCCTTTTAATCTAGGTTACACTGCAGGTCAATCAAACAATCAATCAATCAATCCTCGTTTATTGTCTCCATTCGTTATGGGTCGGACTTAAGTTACACTGCAGGCTGTTTTCAAATTCATAATTGTTGAATGCTGTGGAGCACATGTTCAGTTGCACAAATGAAGTTCTGTTTAATGCTATTCTGTTGAGTGGATCGTTGTTGAAAGTTCAAGAATGTTGATACAAAGGTTGATGGATAAGTTGAAGATGGTGCAGTAAGTAGTGAATGTCTGGTGGGGGGTGGTTCGGTGTGCGTTGGGAAGTTGCTAGCATTGGTGGAGAGATTTTTGGCATTGATCTCAATGGGTCCGATTGATCAAATGAAAACAAAAAAAGTTAAATTAATAAATAACTAACTGAATCCATCTAATAAACAAATATAGAAAATGAAGTTGTTGGAAGATTTAGGAGCAAAACTAGATTTCGCACGATTTGCTAAGCAAGGATGTCTGCTGGTTTAATATTTTGCCACTGTAAATTAAATCTAAACAATGGGAATTGAACATTCATTCTATCACACTCTTACACACTTTCATAATTTATTCACTGAACCTAACCGCATGCAGATGGTATGTGTGCAACATTTTGTATAGGTATGAAAGGATAATAATTCTCTGTTGTATTTGAATGATACACTATCATAAGCCTCTGCTGTTGGAGTATACTATCTATACTGTTGCTACTGCTTCCTTTACTACTACCGCAGCTAGCGCTACTGCAGCTAACACACCAGCAATTTGTTATATTATTACTACCACTGTTACTTCTACTACTATACACTAATGCAGCTACTACCACTGCTTCTTAATGTAGCTACTACCAACAACAATGTTGTCGACATTTTAGCGTGAATAATAATGATGTTTTCATTCCATTCCATTCAACTGTACTGCAAATTAGCAATTCAAATAGGCTGCCTGGTTGAGTCTGATTGGAGGAATAATGATCTGCATCAGTATGATGAACAGCGTGCAGCTGGTGGTGGCGATGGTGGTGGCGGTGGTGGGGGCGTTTGTGGTTGGGGCGTTTTTTCCTTGGTGGTCGTCAACTGAATCAAATCATTTCCTTGCATGCCTAATTAATTAAATTACCTCATCCAACTTGTACACTGCTGCAGCTATGGACCAGAATATTTGCATTTTATAATTGCCGTAATAATATCAATGTTGATGATGGTGATGATGATGATGATAATGACGATGACGATAATGATTATGGTGATGGTGATAATGGTGATGATGATGATGATGGTGGGTGATGATAATGATTGCGATAATACTCTTGTTATTTATCCATGCACGAGTCAATAATTGTATTGAAATTTAAATGCAACTCAATTGCATGTATTTATCATCGACGCTATTATAAATCATCATCATCATCTCATCCCCATCATCATCATCATCATCATCATCATCATCATCATCATCATCATCATCCCCATCATTTCCATCATCTCATCGCCATTTTTTTTAATATTCTTTGTTATCTTATCCGTCTTATCATTTTTTTTCATGTTCCCCGTTTGCACTGTCAACAAGTGCACATCCAATGCATTCATGCCAGCAAGCGAGAAGATGTCCTTGGTCTTCCTTTGTTTACTTTCGTGATATAGATAAATTTGACTACATGATTTTTGTCTTTTTATTATTACTGTTGATAAATAAATAAATATTAAATAAGTTATAAAGAGATTGGCGTAAATAGAAATAAAAAAGCTCAACATTCGCTGAGTTGATTATGCTTAAATTGTAATGAACGGTTGAATGCGATGTGGTGTGGTGTTGTGTTGATGTGAGGGGATGATGCGAATGAATGAATGAATGAACGAACGAACGAATGAATGAATGAATGAATTATATAAACGGATGACTGGATGAATGAATAAATAAATAATTGAATGAATGAAAAAGCGAGAGAAAAGTGAATGAAAGAACAAACGAAATCACTGCAGATGAATGAAGAGGTCCTCAGTTTGGCCAGTGAGTATGGCAAGTTGGTTGAAAAACTGGAGATCAGCAAAGCCAAATACGAATCCAACTTGGGCAAAGGTTTGCATTCCCGACTGGTTTTATTTTCGATGCAAATTATATTTTTCCAATATATTAATTTCCTCCTCCTCAATTTTGTTCATTGCCTGTTTTTTTAATACTCATTCCATCCAACTTAGTGTTGCTGTTTGCCTCTCTTGTGTTACATCAAACATTAACACTCATTTTTAACCGGCGCTATATAAATGTTAATAATAATAATAATAATAATTGTTATTTTATGGACATAATTGACCATGGGAAAATTGTGGAAAAAGTTGCTTACTAAGTGATGACGAATTTGATGACTGATGAGTTATTTAACTTAAAATAAATTGACTGTCATCATTTAGTTTAGCTTACATATTTCTACTGGGAAATTGTTTGTATGTATGTATTTATGTATGTGTGTGTGTGTGTTGTGTGTGTATGTGTGTGTGTGTGGGTGTGTGTATGTATGTATGTATGTATGTATGTATGTATGTATGTATGTATGTATGTATGTATGTATGTATGTATGTATGTATGTATGTATGTATGTATGTATGTATGTATGTATGTATGTATGTATGTATGTATGTATGTATGTATGTATGTATGTATGAATGAAACAAATTCCATTGTACCGACTGGCTGCCACATCATCATGTTGATAACTTTCATAGAACATACATAGTAGTGCACAGTGTTTTGCATCAAGGTACTTTTTATTTTTGTCATCTGTCATGCTTTCCAGAATTTTCATTTTTTCCCGCCATTCGGGTTGTACTACTTCCATTGCACTTGCACGTTGAATGCACTCAGAGCACCAGCATGTGACTGTATTGTTTGAAACTCACACGCAATGACGAAATTGATGGACCTGTTCAACGATTGGAGACTTGATTTTGTACAATGCAAATTACAAAAAAATACGTTGTACGCTACAACGTTAAAAATTTGCAATACAACATAGGTCGATGTTTAATATTGTGAGACACATTGTGACATTTGGATGCAGGCAAATCATTGAAGCAAGAAGAGATGCGTGCGAAGTTGATGCGGACGGAGATAAAGTTGAACCTGCTCCATAACGAGTACACACTCCTGCTGAAGGAGGCCAACCTCCATGAGAAGCAGTTCACAACCATCCTACTGCCCGCTCTGTTGCAAAGTCAACAAATTCTCCAAATCGAAATCGTCAAACAGTGGTACGATAGTTGTTGTTCTGAGGTTGTTGTTGGGATTAGTTGGTCAGTTGTTGTTGTGTTGTTGTAGTTATTGTTGATCAGTTGTTGTTGTTGAGTGGTTGTTGAGTGGTTGTTGGGTTTTGTTGTGTTGTTGTTGGGTTGTTGTTGAGTTTTGTTGTGTTGTTGAGATTTGTTGTGTTGTTTTGCTTTGTTGTGTTGTGGTTTTTTTTGGTAAGTTGTTATTGTTTCATTGTTGTCGTCTCTGAATGGCCCACTGTTGATTATGTTGTTGTTGGTTTTTGCTCTGTCGTTCTATGCACCATTGGATGGCTATCAAAGAATCAATGATTGCTACTCACAATGTTGTTATTTTTCTTATTATTCTAATGATATGATTGGTTGAATAATGCCGACAATATGATTGGTTTAATAATGCCAACTATATGATTGGTTGAATAATACCGATGATATGATTGGTAGAATAATGCCAACTATATGATTGGTCGAATAATGTCGATGATATGATTTGGTGATTAATGCCGATGATATGATTGGTTGAATAATACTGACAATAATGTTCTTAGATACACTGCAATAGAATGGCGGTAAAACACATGTGGTGATGACTATTATACTAAATGTTTGCATGCATTTGCTATTGTTTGCTACGTCAGTGGCGGTGGAATTAAAATTTGGAGAGAGAGTGCAGGTCTTTTGTGATGATGGTTGGCTGGAAAATGGAAAATTATGGATAGGGGATGGCGCATAAATGGCAGACGCTACATATTGTAGCTACAAAATAATTTGTTTGCAAATTACGTTACACAAAACAACATCATCAAAAGCTCTTTAAAAAGTTATGGTTGTTGGTTTTAAAATACGTATTACAATTGTCGGATTGCCTGTTTATTTACATACATTTTCATATCTACTTCGTTTGTTTTGTTTGCAGAGTCTTGCATTTATTTGATTATATTTCATCTATTTTTTTTTATAAACATTTTTATCACAGTTATTCATATGTTATCACCTAATCTTTTGTAGCTGAACTTTTTGACTGTATCGATATTTCATGTTTGTTTGCGTAATAATGTTGAAAACCTCTGTCCACACATTATTCTGTCTAATCAACACGGTTTTTTGTGTAGCCATGGTCACTGCTGAAGTCATTATCATTGTTCTCATCTGTACTGTTGTATTAATAATCTTTGTGATCATTATGTATTGTTGTCACTGGGCTTCCTTCTGTGAAGTTTTTACATTATTGAAACCAATATTTTGAGTTTTGAAAAATTTTTGTTTTTGGAATTAAAATTTCTACTCTAAATTTTTCATTTAGAACTAAAGAACCGGACAAATTTATGTGACAGATATAACTGTGTGACATTTTAGTAGCAGTTTATTATCATGTATATTTATATGTTCATATAGTGTATATTAAAATGTTAAATTTATATTATATATACATTTGTTGTACATTTCTTATATTCATAAACATTATTTTTTGGATGTGAAATGGTTGAAGTTAGTGTAGTTAATTGCAAACAACAACCACACGACAGCCAGGAAGTGCTGTTGGATTACATCCGCCTGACGAACACGACAACAACAGACTTCCAACAAATCCACAACAACAACATCTCAAACCTGATGCAGTTGAATTATGACAAGGAGTACAATGCTTTCGTGGCTAAGTTCAGGTCTGCTGATCTGCCTGTTTTTCTGACACGATGTCTTATATTTGTATCTTGTATGTTTTTAGACATTTTTTGGTTGCTCAGTTTTTGTTGATAATAATTATTATTTATCTTGAATCTAATTATGAACTGGTGTGGCATGCTAATGGTATTCAGGATGAGAGTCTGTTATTTGACAGTGCAAGTTGTGGGTAAATGGCTTTTATAGCTGTCAGCTGCAGCACTTCGAAAAAGGGATATCACCAATAAACAAATGATGCAGCACACTTAGCAGATTATTTGGTTTTAACAGTTTATTATAAATATTTTGTAAACTACAATATGAATTCTGCAAATAACTCTATTGTTAAATTATAAAACTTAATTGATTATGCCTGAATATTAATTCTGAATTTTGAATGACTCTCCCAAACAGATCTGATCCGCTGAAAATAAAATTCTACGAATTCTTGGTTGCGAGCCAGTTTCCAGCCAACGACATCATCTTAAATGACGTCACATTGCCTGCTCTGAATCAAAAGTGCGTTCCAAGATGTGTCTTATTCTTACTTACTTGCCTGTTTATTAGTGAACACGTGTGGCTGTTGTGCCATTTGCATGAGCTGCTTAGCGCGCGAAGTTATGTTTTGTTAGAATAAGGTTTCTGTTCATTTAAAATCATTTACGTTCGGGAACATGATTTTGGGCGCGTTTTTTATTCAAAAGTGCATTAGTTCATATCTTGCTTTAACTGTGAATGTCCCATTAATATTTTGAACTCACCTCTGCTTGCTCACATTCATTCAAGGGGACGGCTTTTGTCATCTCAGTTAGCTGTTTATCACGATGTTGATGTATTGTTGTGTTGATGTTGTTGTGTTTTTTGTGTTGATGTTGTTGTGGTCTTTGAGTTGATGTTGTTGCGTTGATGTTGATGTTGTTTTGTTTTTTGTGTTGATGTTGTTGTTGTCTTTGTGTTGATGTTGTTGTGTTGATGACGATTAATCGTTATCATCTGTTATCGTAATGATAATGTTAATAATAATAATAAATAATAATAAATAATAATAATAATATAATAATAATTCCATGCAAATAAATATGGGTTTTAAGAATCATTCTCAAGATGACTAAGTGTTATTGATGTCACTTTGGTGACCACTTCAAACTGGATGTCAATGTTTTGCTTATATTTTGTTGTTTGTGTGTAAATGTTGCTGTGTTGATTTGTTGATGTTGATGTTGATGGATTTGTTGGTGTTGCGTTGATGTTGTTGTGTTCTTTGTGTTGATGTTGATGTATTGTTGTGTTGATGTTGTTGTGTTCTTTGTGTTGATATTGTTGTGTTGATGTTGATGTATTGTTGTGTTGATGTTGTGTGTTCTTTGTGTTGATGTTGATATGTTGTTGTATATTAATGTTGTTGTGTTGGTGTTGTTGAAATGTTGTTGATGTTGTCCTACTTCTTCTTAATATTATTTTATTGTTGACATATTCATTTATCTGCAGTTCGTCTCAATAAATGTAGCACAGAGTCAATTCATATACAGGAATTATGGTGAATACTTCTCTATGCTAATGTTATAAACTTTATTAAGAAAGACATTAATCGCCACGTATTTTCTGCTGTTAATTAGCGTCAAGGAGTCCAACATTTGAACGTGTGTGTTGAATAGTTTTAGTAATTTTGAGACACTTAAGATGTTTAACTAACAGACTTCGCTTATTATTATCAATATTATTGTTATTATTATTATTATTATTATTGTTGTTGTTGTTGCTGTTGTTGTGGTTATTGTTACTAAACATGGTTTATTATAACTGTGTTGGACTGGCATTCATAGTGTAAAAATATTTCTGGTTGAACCAGGTTCTTATCTAAAGTAGCAATGGTACTTACTACTTATGGTGCAATAAAAATTATCGTGTTTTTATTATCTCAATGATATTTGTAAAGGTTGTGGTGATGAGCATTTTTCTTATTCATCCTCATCATCCTCATCGTCATCATTGTCATAATCATCGTCGTTATCATCATTGTTATCATCATCGTTATCATCATCGTTATCATCATCGTTATCATCATCATCATCGTCATCGTCATCATCATCACATCATCATCATTATTATCATCGTCGTCGTCGTCATCATCGTCAATCCACAAAACAGAAAGTCGGAGTATTCGAATGATTTGTTGAAGTGCCAGCACTGGCTGGCCTGCAAGGGTTCAGAGTTGGAGCAGACAAGAGGGGTCCTTCTCAGCTCCAGTGACAAGGACGTCAATTTGCTGAGGTGGTTATGATGTTGATGAGGATGTTGATGAAGATGATGATAGTAATGATGGTTGTAAATTAATGCTTAAATTATAAAATTATGACAAACAACCAACCGATTGACCAGCCAACAACTAATCAACCAACCAACCGACCAGCCAACCAATTAACCAACCGATCGACTGACCAACCAGCCAACCAACCAACCAACCAACCAACCAACCAACCAACCAACCAACCAAACAACCAACCAAACAACCAACAAACCAACCAAACAACCAACCAACCAGTCATCTGATGCAGATTCACACCTCAGAAACGCTACAGAGGGAAATATTGGAGCGGCAATGTTTGGAGGATCGATGCCTGAAGATGGTCGAATTCATTGACGACCTCTTCAGCCAGTGTCCGTACGGCGCACAGTCCCTTCCCTCCTGTTTCGCTGCTTATCCCGAACTTGCTAACCTGGTATGTTATTTTTGTGACGTCATGTTTGTGACGCCAATGTTTGTGACGTCATGTTTGTGACGTCATGTTTGTGACGTCATGTTTTTTTTTAGAAAATTAATTCGATTTATTTGCAATGTGTTGAGTGATTAAATGATTGATTAAATTAAGTTATTAAAGACAAAATGATTAAATTCAAATTAATTTCATTTCAGCCCTAAAAATGGCTGTTAAAATATAAAAGATGAGAAAGATATCTTAACGATATTTTTTTGAGACTCTATTAGTAATTATAAAAAGTTAGATGTCGTCTCCTCTGTGCTTGCAGCCCGTTAAAGACCTGTTGCAGCTGGAGTCCTCCGCTCTCAATTCGACCGGCGACAGCTTTCGTTCGACGTTCAACAGCCTGAAGACGACCATGATGAAGTTAAAGCCCATCAAAAAACAGTGCTCTGTCAGCCAAACATCAAATCCATTCGCCAATTGCAACAACATCGCGCAACTCAATGACATTGTTGATGGCCATCTGGTCAGTGATGACAGTAAAGTAGTTGACGACAACAACAACAACAACAACGAAGACATCAACATCTTCGGCAATGGTGGCACGACAGCTCTCGAACTCAACAACAAAATTAATTTGTATGCTATTTTTGTCAATTATTCTTTTTATGAGATTTTTTTTGTTATTTGATTTGCTATTCGGTCTTGTTATGCTAAGAAATGTTTACTCTAAAAGTATTGATCTAGTCTCTAAATTGTGGATATGCGGATTGTCGTATGTTAGGCTTTCTTGATTGTCGCGTTTTGCAGTGCCTGACCATGCATTCTGCAAGTCAAGGATGATAATATCGCTGCATTAATTCATGCCATTTTAGATTATCGTCATCATCATCATCATCGAGTGCGTCAGGTGGTAACGTTTTAAGCGGCAACAGCTTCACCACCACCACCTCCACCACCACAAACAGTTTCAACGCCAGCAACAAAACGATCATCAAACGTGACGTCAACAAAAGTTCTGACGTCACGATACCCGAAAGACCGCCCAGGAGATATCACGTAGGTTGTTTAATGACGTCATAATATTCATTTTGTTTCAATTGTTCAAGCATTTAATAGCATTATCGTTAGCAGCGTAATGCTTTATGAAAATAATTTGTATTACGTACGACGGCGGTCTTAATAAATAGATTGCGTGGTGCATTCATATATCTCGCACACACACACGTACAAACACACACATCTCATCTCACATACACCTTACACACACCTTTCACACACACACACACACACACACACACACACACCTTACACAAACACACACACCTTAAACAAACCTTACACAAACACACACACACACCTTACACACACCTTAAACAAACCTTACACACACACACACACACACACACACACCACACACACACACCTTACACACACCTTACACACACACACAAACACACACACACAAACACACACACACACACCTTACACACACACACACACATACATACACACACACATCTCATGCACATTTTACTCCCACTTACAAACAGGCCAACAGCCAATCAATCCCGATAGCATCTCCATCATCAGCCTCATTGGATCTTCAGCACAATTCAGCATCTTCCCTACCGACATCGTCATCTGTACCGCCACCATTATCATCACTAATAGCTACACCATCGTCAGCACAATCGACATCACTTCTGTCTCCTTCATTGTCATCAGCTCCAATATCCTTATCATCGATAATATCGGAACTAGAGACCCAGGAGTGGTACCACGGGGTGCTGCCAAGGGAGGAGGTGCAGAAGTTGTTGGTCGAGGATGGGGACTTCCTGATGAGGTGCAGCAAGAATAGGCAGACTCACGAAGTTCAGTTTGTCTTGTCTGTCATGTGGAAGGGACAGCACAAGCATTTCATCGTGCAGGGCAGTGAGGTCGGTTCCTTCCAGTTCTAACTTGCATCTCGTATCAATGTATTTCATTGTTCGCTCGGTTTCTTCCGTGATTTGATTTACAGGAGGCATGCATTGGTCTGTAGGGCCACAGTCTCTTTATTAACAAACAGTTGACCATTTTAATCAGTGTTAAATTTTGTGATTACGTATCATAAAATCATAACTTGGTGTGAACACATGACATCTTCTTCTTTAAAATCACTCCGACTCGATAAGTGTTCGACTTATATTACAATTGCTGGGTAGGTTTCCTTTAAGCCTAAAGACTAATTACATAGTAAAACGTTTCAAATGTATAAGTTTTGTTCTGTTTGGTTCTAGAAAATTTGCTGGATTTGAAATAAATTTCATATATGCCAACTAAAATTGGTTAACGCTTACATTTCTAGTCATTTTGAAAAACATTGCGTATACATATCTCTTTGTCTTGCTGATATATATAATAATAATAACAACAACAACAACAACTTGTACATAACAGACCGAGGGTTACAGATTTGAGGGGGTGGGCTACCCGACAGTGCAGGCACTCATCGAGGACCACCTCTACACCAGGGAAATCATAACAAAGAGATCTGAAGTGGTCATCATTCGACCGATACCTCGGGCTACTTGGGAGTTGAATAATGATCAAATTGAACTGAAGGAGAAAATTGGAAGTGTTAGTGCTGTTATATTGTTTCGCTGTTCGTCGCGCTGTGCAGTAGCATTGTCATGCTGCTTCTTTGCTGTGATGTCCCATCTTGTTTGATGTTGTCTGTTGATGAGAAGTTGCAAATGTTGGTGTTCTTCCTGTATCAGGGTCAGTTTGGTGAAGTGTTTCGAGGTTTGTTGAAGCCCACGAACCTGGAGGTGGCCATCAAAACTTGCAGAGAAACACTGACTGAAGATTTGAAGAGAAAGTTTCTACAGGAGGGCAGAATATTGAAACAATATGACCATCCGAATATCGTCAAATTTATCGGCATCGCTGCCCAGAGGCATCCCGTTATGATTGTTATGGAGTACGTTTCCGGTAGGTCAATAGGAATTCATATTTATTTACTTGCATTTTTTATATTTAAAGTGTTTAATGTTTACGCATGTATTTATAATGTATTGAAAATTTATTGCTACGTCACCACCCATGTAACTTCCATCACAATTCAGGCGGTTCCCTCCTAGCCTTCCTTCGTTTTCATGGTGCCAACCAACGCGTGTCTGCCCTCACGCAGATCTGCGTTGATGTCGCTGCTGGCATGCGATATCTCGAGAGCAATAACTGCTTGCACAGGTTCGTTTCCGTGCCCCAGTTCTCGATCGTTTTTATTTAAAACAAAATCTCTACTCGCATGTGTTGCTATGTGGGATGAAGTGATGTTCATAGTAAAACTTTTTAATTTGACTACTGAGATGTTAGTATGTAGGTACATTTTTCCTTTTATTGATGACATGTTTTATAACGCCAAACGATCTCATCAATTCAACATCGCCAGGGACTTGGCCGCGAGAAATTGTTTGATTGGCGAGAACAACATCATTAAAATTTCTGATTTCGGGATGTCCCGAGAGGAGCAGGAGTACATAATATCGGGGGGTCTCAAACAGATCCCCATCAAATGGACCGCACCTGAGGCACTCAACTTTGGTTGGTCATTTTGGGCAGTTGCCATCATTCATTGAAGTCTTTCAGTATCCTATCGCTTCATTTAGTTTATTTTTTATTCAAAAGAGAAACATTTTTGTGATCGTGGTTTCACAAAATTATTTCTTCTAAACAACTTTGCAATCAAGTAACTGTTTAAATGTTGAACAACTGAAACTTGTAAACTCGAAGCAATTTCTTTAGGTCATAGGATGTCAATGGTCATTAAATTTTTTTTTAAAAATATTCAACAGTCGCACATCTTGTGGAAGTACATTTTAAAATTCGAACATTTACAAGAACATTCCAATTTTATTACGATACATTGTTTTATAGATTAACTGTCATATTAAAATTAGTTTGGTTTGTCTATTGATGACTTTCAGTTAAAATTGCGGATTATCCTTGTTTGAAAACAATACCACACAAAATTTTGAAGGCTTGTACACGTGGTCCTGTGATGTCTGGAGTTACGGTATCTTAATGTGGGAGGTCTTTTCCAACGGAGGCAATCCCTATCCTGGTCTCACGAACTCCCAGGCCCGAGATGAAGTCGATGCAGGTAAGGTCTTTTTGGTTATTAACTCTGCTGACTTCTAGATGAAAATCTGGCTGTGTTCAACTGTGTAATTTGATTTTATGTTCCACACGAGGCAGATTGCGGGTAGTTGCAGGCGAGCATATGGGACGACTGACCATAAATCTTGGTGTAATTCTCGTGAATGTGTTTGTAGCTGTGAGATGATAGGAGTAAACTAGATATTAATAATTAATGAGCTGCTTATTTCCCGCAGGATATCGAATGCCATGTCCCGAGAAGTGTCCATCGAATGTGTACAAGCTTATGCTGTCCTGCTGGAACAAGGAACCCAAACTGAGGCCGCACTTTTCACAGATTCATCAGCAGCTCATCGACATGAAGAGTTCATTGCTTGATTTTTAAGTTTTATGAATTTTTTATGATGTACAAATTGTTTCAAGTAGTTCTTTTGAGCTTTCAATTGTTGCTATCTATATATCATTCGTTTCTGTACATTTTATTTTATATTATTTATGATTTTATATTTGTGTAAGTTATTATGACTCTTGGTGTTCAAATCATTCATCATTGGTTATAATTGATATTTACATTATTTTGACTTTTACATTGTTGTTTGCATTACATTATTGTTTCTTCTTTACATGTTTGATTATCGATGTATCAATTTGCCAATATTACTCTGATAATCAAAGTAAAGACTATTTCAGTTTCAAAATGAAACACTTTTTAAAAGTTTTTAATCTATATAATCAATAATTTAAAAAATATTTAAAATCTTTTTTTTAACTTGTCTAAGATTGTATTTTTTTTTTAGTTACTTTCATTCGATTTTTTAAAATACAATCCGATAACATGACTCGACGCTGTTGCCATCGTACAAAGCATTGAACACTGGCGTCACTACACACATCTACCTAGCAGTACAGTGCAATTCAATGAATCTTCCTTCACAATCTCGTTATTTTATTGTTAACAAATATTGAGTTTTTTATTGTTTCACATGGTCAGTCATGCAGTTTCTACTTGGTGCAACTCCCACTTTATCAACTTTCTCGTTTGAAGCTGTCCAACGGATCAATATAATAAGAACGTTCGTATAAGTATTATAATTGATTTGCTATGATTTCGATTGTCTGTTTTCTATTTTGCGTTAAACACTGATTAGGTATTATTTTGAATGCTTCTCATTAATTTTCTGTGTGTAGTTAGTTTGGGTGGTAAGTCTTTTTTGACCTAGGCATGTGGAATTTTCTTGCTCCTAACATAAATTTAATCGAAACGCAATACCAGTTAGTCAAACATCATGTGATCTCCTTCATCACTATCATTACCTGCATTACATCACTATCATCATCACCACCATCATCATTATCATCTCCATCATTGTCTATGTTATTGTCACTATTATTAATACAATTGTACTACTTGTCCATTCTATATGTTAGTCTTCAATAATCGAGTTTAATATTTTCTAATTTTGGCTTAACGTGAAATAGGAATAAAAATGTTTTATTTAACTATACATATATAATTGTATATTTCTGTACGCGCTTCTGTGTGCATGTCAGCTCCTTATTCCTTGTATTGTGCATGTATGTACAATGCTCATATAACAGTTTAGAGTTAAAAATATTGAAGGATTTTCCGGAGCCAATCCTGTACTCAAATGTACGAATTGAGAGTCATTCAACCTGCTGTCCACTGGTGTATTCTCCTTTATTAATCTCTGTCTCGCTTTTCTTCAAATTCTCAAATTACCTCTCTTGGTTCTTCTACAGTTTAACGTTCAACCATTTCATGACATGCTGCTGTTTATTTTGAGACAATTTTTGCACGTAACTTGTAGATAAATATACTTTATACATATACATACATACACGCCATGGATAACAGTTAATTTAAACTGTTCACTTTAATTTATTAAGACCAAATTTTTTCAGTGCCTTTTTACATGCTGTACATGTTCAATGTATTTCATCGTTAATCAAGATTCCAAGTTATAAAAATGAAACATCATTTAAACTTGCTCGTGAAGCCTTAATAACTCAATCCTTTTATTGTTTTATTTTTATTTTGTTATATGTATCTTACCTGAAAACTGTTTTTATTAATATTTCGTAATTTCACGTTAACTCTCTAAATTATTATAGTATCATGTCTCGTTATTTACGTGTGGCATACATGTATCGCTTGCACCTATTACATCAGAGTATTTGTACTTCTTCAAGTACTAATGAACCATTGACCTTCGTATATACCATATATATATATATATATATATATCTATATATATATGTATGTATATATATATATATATATTTTACAATATTCTATAAACACTCTCCGATATTGAAAATCGCGACGCTGAATTAAAGAGAGTCACTAACCTGCTTGTAAACAATTTTTTTTTTGAACTGAACAATTTAAAGACAGCACAATAAAATGCCCGGTTCCCAAATGATTTTCAATATCGCTGAATTAAAGAGTCACTAACCTGCTTGTAAACAATGGATATAAGACTTACTCTATTGAAAAGATTGTTAAAGGCAAATTACTATACAGCAATAACCTTCCTAGTACCAACAATCAAGATAACGACATCATCTTGTATTAAAGAAATCACATGTCAACAGCATACAATGGTAGATGAAGCTATTCTTAAACATATCATCAATAAAAATGTCACATCAACCAACCCAAATAGTAAAGTTAAACTCCGAATTTATTACAACAATAAAAAGACGTCTCACCTAATACTGAAAAACAACTGCAGTCCTAGAGATAACTGAGTTAAAGCGTAATCACGTAATATATGAATTTAATTGCCCCTTTGACGGCTGTGCACGTCAACATGACTCATACATCGGGATTACTACTACCTCACTGACTAGAAGGCTTACGATGCATAAACAGAGTGGTGCTATCAAATCTCATTTGGACTCAACACACTCAATCACAATTAGCCGTGAAATCCTCGACAGCAACACCAAAGTAATATACCAGAACAGCAACTACACGCATCTTAAAATTGCAGAAGCAGTCCTAATCGACATCAATAAACCAAAAATAAATATACAACAAAAAATGACAACCTCACTTCCAACCCGGCGCTTAACCAACAACGGAAACAAAGAAGTAATAAAAACTAGCATCGTAAATAGTGACAAAGAAGAATATGATGCTATCGATGAAGAAAAGGAGACCAAAGAAGATGACCAGCCAATTAAGAAACCTGACACCTAATTCGCATCAAAGTTCAATTTTACAACACCAAAGTTAATTTTTACAACGTCAAAGTTCATCTTGACAAAGTCAACATTTCCCTATATATACAGCAAGGAGCACTGATGATGGTTCATTCGGAATCGAAATATGGCCTTATTTGCAGCATGAATTCGAAAAATAAGTTTATTTTGAATTTTAATAAACTAAACGTTCACCAAAAAACTTTAGTGAGAAAAATCGAAAAAACGAACTACATACATATTAATGCCAAACATTCGGTAGAATTTATAGAATATTGTAAAAATTATAATTATAATTATAGAGTATCTTACGTTTGAAGTTTTTGAGTGAATTTATTTTTATATTTAGTCATCTGTATCTTCCAAAAGAATAAACGGATGTAGGTATTTTTTATGCAAAATAATGATTTGAACTCTGTGAAATAATTTAATTTGAATTCGAAAGTTTTCTAGCTCATAACAAATTTTAATTTTTAAAGTTTGCAAGTGAAAAAGTTGGCAATTTATCTGCAGGAATAATTTAACGTGTAAATGTTGATTCTTGTTCATTTGGATGTGTCGAAAGAAATCTGCCAATGTGACAATTTCGTTAATTCCAGAAAATTAAAGCAGTGATATTATACGAATATAGGCTGTTACAACCGCTGGGATGGTGGAACTACGTTACGTAATTAATTTTTGTTATCTTGTTATATTTGCTATCTTCGTTATTTGTCAATCGATTATAAACCATAGAATTTTTTCATACCATAGAGGCTATTATAAGGGGCAGAAGTAGGGAATTAAGCAGCGAGGATTAATTTGCGTTTGAAGCAGTTGTGTTCATCTATCGGAAATCTTGAACCTACGGAATAACGAACGCTTGACGATCGTTGGAAGCTACAACGCTGGTGTTGGAAATATAGAAATCTTTGAAGTTATAACATTGATGTCGGTAGTTACGAGTGTCAAAGTTTACATCAATACAACATTGCTAACATTGCAGTGTTGTGTTTAACAGGGCCGGATATATAAGAAACAAGACATGTAGGAAGGCCTTTACTTTGAAGGTGTTCGCATCAGTACACAAATCTTGTTACAAATTTACATTTTTTATATATTACGATGATGACATTAAAATCAAAGAATTTTGCAGATGTTTTCATCATGTTGCATTTACACAATACAAAGTTGCCCCTTGTCACTTTGAAGAAAAAATAACCCAATAAGCAAATCACACAATATCGCTATAATATTTCGACATTCAATTTTATAGAAATTACAAAAATATATGCGCGTGCCCACTTAACAAAGCCGAAACTCGCTGAATTGATCAGAATACATCAAAGATTCGTGAAGAAAACTCGGAGAAATTTTTGCGTCATGCGGCGAAGTGGAGTGCCAACATTCAAAGGCGTCTTATCGCATTTTCTCCGAAGATAATTTAGGATGAAATTGCTCAACTTCGCCCAACCTAAGATCTCATCCGTCCCGCATTATTTTTTTCTCTCAACACAATTTGCGCTCTTTTATTAGGATTCTTTTTTACTTGAAAAAACAAAACATTTCGTTTAAAAAGTAGATTGGATGGAGCAATAAATCAGGAGCGTGCAGAAATAATAACAATTATTTAGTGCGCGAAGAGGCGCAGACCTTCATTAGTTCATTTCAATTGTGACTTACAACAACGCCTGCAGCACTAACAGCAAACAACAAGCGATCGAAATCAAATTAAATTTATTGCAGTCACCATCTTTATTGCAACCGCGTGCCATCTTGCGACTGCTTGTACGACGAAGCGCGCGGGGATTAACTATCGGCCAACGAAACTTCTGAAGCGCAATGAAATAGTCACCGTATTTTTATTTATTGCTTCGTAAAAAGAAAACGAGGCGTTTATATTCTTTAAATAACTAATAAAAAACTAAGCGTCTCATAATTTAATCTGATAACCTAGTTATAAAACATAAAAATTATCTTATAGAGCAAAATTTTATTCAATTATTGCTAGAACTTACTTGATAAAATAATCAAAACGGCCCGCAGTTTAGGATAGTCACGTGATGATGCATCGTGGCAAACCTGGTCAGCATTTCCCTACTCTGTAGCATGCTGCAATCTTGTGTGTATGCGTGTGTGGTGTAGTGTGGTGTGGTGTCATGTGGTGTGGTGTGATACACTCGTGTGGTGTGGTGTCACGTGGTGTGGTGTGATACAGTCGTGTGGTGTCATGTGGTGTGGTGTATCAAAATGTAAGAGTTACTCCATGAACGTCTTTGCAACCGCTTTCATGTTTTCACGAAGTTTCTCTTAGATGTGAATTACATGCAAGTTGAACACGTGTTTGTTTGCATTTCAAAGTAAATAATATGGAAAGTTGATTGCACGATTTAACATAACAATGATGAAAATTTAATAAACCTTTATTTATATAAAATTTAATTTAACCTTTTTGCGTCAAAAAATGTAACAATTTTATATTCGTTTTGAAATTACATCTCTTTTAAGACACCCATTCTTCAATTTGAAAAACTTGATCACAATTTCAATACATCAAACAAGACCGTCTAAAACAATTTTCAGATGCTAAAATTCAAATCATAAAAAATTAGTGCCTTATCCCACTTCCTCCTTAGTAAAAATAATTTAATTATTGTATATTTTAAACGTTGAACGGTCATGACGTCGAGAATTGAAATTTATGGCTGCCATCTTGCAAGGGACAATTGAGCCTGGAGCATTTTACGCTGGACCACCGCGAAGAAATATATCATGAACACCTTACGTACAGTGCATGCAAGTCTCTCTCTCTCTCTCTCTCTCTCTCTCTCTCTCTCTCTCTCTTTTTCTGGTGTGTGAGTGTGTGTCTATGTGTAACTTGCGTCTTGTTTCACGCAACATGGGATATATTTTAAAGAGATGCAACAATGTATGAATGTTTGTTTGTGTTTGTGTATATGTGTTTGTGCGTGTGGAAGTATGTGAATAAGTGGGTGTGTGTAAAAAATGTGTGAGTGCATGTGTGAATGTGTGTGTGAATGTGTGTGAGTATGTGTGAATAAGTAAGTCAGTGTGAGTGAGATAGTGTGTGTAAGTGAGAATATGAATAATAAACAATAAAGTTTGAAAGTGAATGGATGAGTAACTGACTGACCCAGTGTAATCTGAAGCACTCGAAACACAAGGAACAATAAGAGTTGACAATAAATCACACGCTCTGAAACACTCCAAATGAAATAATACTTATTAAGTTGACTAATGTTTTCAACAGCATGCATATAATGCTAACACCCAACATTAGTTTTCATATTATAGAATGATGCAGTATACTCAACCGTACAACCCTGTTCAAAAAAACGACGTAAATGCTATCTTCTTCAGTTTGTTTAATTTTGTGTCTGCGTGATCTGTGAAATGCTTTCGCCTGTGTAAACTGCAACCATAACTGCATGCATAAGGTGGCTGGATGTTTGTTTGTTTGTATGCTTTGTTGAACGATTCACAACACAGCAAACCACGCAACACAACAAACAGCACAACACAGCAAACCACGCAACACAACAAACAACACAACAAACAGCACAACAGTCAACATAAAGCCCAGCCCGGAAACTAGAAAGTCATGTATTCTAACCACGTATCACATTATCACAGCTCTCCCCTTCAGAAGATAAAAGAACAAACAAGTGACTGAATGTAATGAAATCTGTTCACGATAATTACATTCCAAAATAAAATTTCAGAAGACAACTTGCATGCACGTGGAAAGGAATGGAATGAAAGAATGTTGTGATCGATTGGCAAGCTACATCAGATGAGGAGGAAGTTGGCAAGTTATCACCAAGCAGTCACCTGCCATCGCGCATGTCCCACTAATTGAATTAATTTTTCAACTTCCTGGAAAGTTTTTATTTTTCCCGAAAAAATATTTTCAAAGGAATTTTGTAATTTTTTCATTAGAAAGACTTTTTAGTGAAATTCTTTGAAGAACATTGAAAGAGAGAGCACGCTATCTATCTCAATGATTGATCTCTTACCTGGAAGCACTCTGTGTCTACAACCAGCTAACTAATCAGCCAACCAACCAATCAGCCAACCAGCCAACTAACCATCCAACCAGCCAACCATTCAACCGGCCAACCGGCCAACCAGTCAACCGGCCAACCGGCCAACCAGTCAACCGGCCAACCATCTAACCAGCTAGCCATTCAACCGGCCAACCAACCATTTCATTCCATCTCTTCCATGCGAAATCACATCCTGTACATTTCTTTGTTCACTCAAAAAATAGTTTGACACTACGATCTTTGTAAGCATGTTTAAAAATTTAAAAACAACATCCACGAAAAAAATTAAATAACAACATCTTCGAAGCAACTTTCACTTGTGCACTATGAATTTTGTTTAAAACTATGCTGAATGAGATGAGGCGGTCTTCAAACATTTCAAACCTGTTTAACGTTTTAAAATATTGATTGGTGAAAAAAAGAGATATTCGTACTGGTTAATGCTTTTAATTTAATCGCAAGCATTGTAAAATTACAATAAAAGGAATAATTGAAAGTTGTGACAATAAAAGAACCAACTTTTGTGCGGTTGACTGATGAATGTTCGTTAGCAACAATAGATGTCACTAAAGATGCGGGGCGGAAAAAGAAATTATTTCACTTGGAATTTTGTGTTAAAGTCCGCGTAAAATCAATTTTCCGAGCCATTCCGCCAACATACGAGAGAGGCGATCAATCTATCTTGAACATTTTTCTTCTTGTGGCTCCCATTGGCTCCCACGCAGTTTGAGCTGTTTCTGCTTTCTCTGCTCTCTGTATGTCTGCTTTTTCTTCTTTGCGTGTCTGTGTCTACAGACATGTAGGTTTGTTTTGATCTGTGTGTATCTACCTGATTGTATGCTTTCATGTCTGTTTTTGTTTGCGTCTGTCTGTTTTTGTGCATGCTTGTTCACGTGTTTGCTTGTTGTCTGCCTCTCTCTTTTGTTTATCCTCACTGTCATTTCTGTTTCCGATAACAATGCATGCTTTGTTTCTAACGTTCCTGTTGCAGTTGGTGCTGTTTATGTTGTTGTTTTAGTTAATTTTGTTAATGTTGTTGTAGTTACTGTTGTTGTTGCAGCTGATGTTGTTGTTGATGTTGTTGTAGTTAATGTTGTTTATGTTGCTGTAGTTACTGTTGTAAATGTTGTTGTTGCAGTTGATGTTGTTGATTTTGTTGTTGCAGTTGATGTTGTTGCTGCAATTGATGTTGTTGTTACAGTTGATGTTGTTGTTACAGTTGTTGTTGTTGTTGTTGATATTATTTTTTTGAAGTTGTTGTGCTGTAACTTCATCGTTGTTTGTGATTGATTGATTGATTGATGTTAACGCTGATGATGGCATGAAGTTATGAAGTAGATCTGCACTTTCCTTGTAATTTTAAATGTGGTTTGTCTCGACGCACTTGTCACTCACTGTTGAGCATTGTTTCGATGTTTGGTTTGTTGGATGGTATGGGTGTGGTCGTTCATTAAATGAAATTTTAAAAGTTACCTGAGATAAACAAATTAAACCAAAATTTTTTATTTTATTTATTTTTATTAATTTTTTTTTAAATATTACCATAAAGAGTTGTATTAATTAACTTAGAAATAATTTAATTTTTCCAGAATGTTATGCACAATCTTCTGTCAACCAGTAATTCTTACTTTCATCATGGTTCTTCTGTTGGGGCGTTGACAAAGCATTTGAAAAATTTTACAAATAAAATAGTTTGAGAATAAATTTAAAATGTTTTATAAAAAAAGAAATGTGAATGAGAAATATTCAGACAAAATGTGTTTTTTCTTGGAATTAATAAAACTTGCGCTCACTGAAAATTTAAAAATTTCAAAACAAAAAAATCTCTTGACAGTCTAAAAAAGATAATAACTTGCAAAAAAAAATCAGAACGTTAGCCTATCCGTCCGTCTATCCATTTATTCCTCCATTGTTCAATCAATCAACCAACCAACCAACTGATCTATCAACCAATCAAATCTTCATTATTTTTCGATTTTTCCGAGCAATGACAACGTCTTTGTCTTCTTCAATTTTTTTCTTTTAGTTTTTGGATTTTTTCTGTTTAAAATTTTCATCAAATTCCTTTCGAAGCGACATCCATCATTCGCCAGTCAATCATTCGATTGTTAATGCTTTTCAACGTACGCACGGTTCTAAAATTAAAAATTTCTTCTCCTTGGAAAATAGACCTTTGTGATTTTGTTTTGATTGCATTAAAATTTGGAATGAAAATCGCCTTGAGATGAGAAAACTAGTTTGGAATTATAATATATATTCCTTTTATTGACTGTTTGCTTTTACTCAAAATTTGAATAATTTTTTTGGCAAAATGTTTTTTGGCCATCGTCAAAGTTGGATTTTTCTTTGTTGAATTTTATTTTTCTGCCCCGAAGGGAAAAGAGGCTGATTTAGAAAAATTTTCCTCCGTGCTATTCTGCACGCCATATAAAATTTGCATTATTTTCATAAATGACTTGAGTGTTTGTCAGAAAAAATACAAGTTAATAAAATATGTTAATATAAATCGTTTTAATGAGTTTGTTGTTATACAATTATTATTAATATCTAAGAATTAGTTGTTTTTGGAGTATTTTATTAATAAGGACTAAATTAATTTCACAATTTTAGCAAACTTCAAATGTTTAGTGTTAAAAAGGTTGTTACAGGTTATTGTCATAGATTCGTCTTAGATCCACAAAGCTTCAAAAATAATTCGTTTTAAAATTCTCTTATTTCATTATACAAACAAATAATTTTTTTTGAGAAGACAATTTAGAGTAAGCAACTAAACGGACATTGCAAGTATCCACAACTAATGGACGTTACTGGCGTCAAAATAGGCAAAAAAATGGGCGGCGTGATGGCTCAATGGTTAAAGGCGCCTGGCCTTGCTATTGTAATGACTGGGTTCGAATACAAAGAGATCCCCGCCTATCATATGTAATGTGTATGATGCGTGGTTTGCACGCGTATTCATATACGCTGTGTGTGTTTGTCGTTGAAACCTCTGAAGCAAACGCAAAAGAGAGAGAGAGAAACCTTTAACCTTTAACCACTTTCATCAACGTTACATCAACATTAAGCTAACATTAACAAAAATGTCGATGGCAAGCAACAAAGACCAATAGCCAACAACATCAATAACAACTTCAAAATCAACATCAACAACAATAACACCCACACCAGCAAAGTCAACAACAAAACAACATAGAAAGTTCCGTAATAAGTTAACCGAAAATATAACACGTGAATGATTTTATTATTTATAATGAAATAGGAGAAAAATAAACATCAATCAAAAAATCACATCAACACACAAACACACACACACCACACACACACGCACACACACGCACACACGCACGCACACACACACACACACACGCACACACACACACACGAACACACACTAATACTCACACAAGTGAATGCATCGTACCACGTGCCTCAGACAGAAACTTACACACCAGTCCGATCAAATTAATTACTTTTGTCTAATTTTACATTAATTAATCATAATATTATTCTTCTTCTTATTATTTGTTTGGTGATAGGGGCATGTTATTAACGTGACGTCAGCATCGACAGGAGAAAAAAAGTGATGAAGTACGACGATCCAGCGACAGATTTTCCAGATATATATGGCCATGAAAAGAATGATTTTATAATGTTGATTGGCGGAAACTGTAATAATTATTATCATTTGGTTACACTGGGATGACGAAAATGATGATTTTGCGAGATGATGACAATGATGATAATAGCAATAACGATGACCATGTCTGTGGTGATGGTGGTTACTGGTTACGATGGTGTCGACTGTGATGATGGTGGTTACGATGCTGGCGACTATGGCGATGAGAGTTACGATGGTGTCGACTGTAGTAATGGTTAGATGATGAGAAAGAAGTGTGGCAAGAATGATAATACATTTTCCAAGCAACAAATTCAGTTGCCATCGCCATTTCCAACTTGTTTGCTCGTAGTAAACAAGAAGTTTCGCATATTGCTTCTGCTGACTTTTTCAAATATTTCTAATTTGCGGACAACCACTATTTAAAACACATATTTAATACATAATCGGTAACATACTGAATTGTTAGATTCTCCAGTTTCAAGGATGATGACTTTGTATACTTATTTGTTGGTGTTTTTACTCTTAACTTGCGATGATCGGTCATACAGCAAACGTCCGTCTTTTTAGCTAAGCAGATACTAAAAAGTTTCTCAATTAAAAGTTCATTATTTTAAATTTCAAAATCATTTATTACGCATTAAATAAATTAATGTAATCTTTAGTTTTTGGGTGAATTGAGCTATACCCGTGTAATATAAAAGGCGTTTGAATACATTATCGAAGGAGCCGAGATCATGTTGAGAATTTGATTAAGTTTTGTGTATGTCTGTGTTCTCTCTCTCTCTCTCTTTCTCTCTCTCTCTCTCTCTCTCTCTCTCTCTCTCTCTGTGTGGTGTGTGTTTGTGTGCGCGTGTGTGTGTGGTGTGTATATATAACGCCATGCCATCACCAAAGCTACTTTATCTGCTGGGATCATGTTGAACTTAGGGTATGTACTTATGTACAACATTCAACAGTTTAGAAAAAGTTGGTTGAAAAATGAGGTGGAAGTATTCCGAATGTTAAAACCACAATTGAAAAAATACTGAGGATGTAGAAGGTTTTAATGAGGTGTTGCATCTAACTTAATACAATAAGAGGTTTAGAAATTTAAAATAATTTTTCAAAATTTGTCATGTAGACACGTCATACGCTGCGTCCTTTTTAATTTTAATTTCTTTAATTTTTGATATTTTTTCCAACGCCAAATAGATTCAAAATGGGTCGGTCCATCCACATTTCATTAATGAAACTAACATTTTTTTAACCTTTGCATTTTGGCAAAAACCCTTGCAAAATTTTTTATTTAAGTTTGCAAATTTTGAAAAGTCTTACGTTGAAAAAGAATGCAAAAAAAAACACACAAATGAGTTCACGCAGTTCAAGAAGGCAGGACCTTGAATGATGATTGATTTTTTTAGACTTCGCTTGCACTGAAGGCTTCGGCAAAACGTTTCTCACTCAAATTATGTTATACCTCTTTGTACAAAATGTTCACTTTGTTTATATTTGTCAATCTTTTTTTAAATTTTATAATTCTGTCTATATTATTTTAACTTTATTTTTATTTTACTGGTTGAGATTTCAATACTGATTTAATGTGAAAAATTTGACTTTTTGATGAAAATTGTTTAAATGCTACTGTTAAGAAAGGTTGGAACAGTTTTCTTTTAACATTTCAATCATGATTTTGTTCAATATAATTTTACCCCAAACCAAATTTTTCACTTTTGGGGCTTTTCAGTCCCTCCCAACGGTTCCCCTGGATGCCCCTCTGTTTTTTTAAAATTAATATTCTCTAAGTAGATCCCATCGTGGTTCTCAAGTCACTCCTCATAAGCTCTCACATCTCATTCATCATCTTCATACATGTTTGTCCTGTTTGCTACGACGGCACGTAATTTAGAATTTTTGTCGTTTTAAAAAATGGTAAAAAAATGAAAAGGTAACAAATATTAATAAACCCTTGAAAAGTTGAACAATCGGTTGAACGGTTGTCCCATGTTATTCGCTGTATGTGTAGCACATCACCTCTCATACACACAACAAGTTAACGGCCTCAAGTTTTTAAGAGCATTCTTAACAGAACTATTGTTGAACATTTCTTTAAGCTGCCTGCTTTAAAACACAAAATAATTTGGTTGGTCCGAGTTGGAACTACCAACCTGCAAACACACATTTTGTTGTAGCTTTCTTTTTCTAGATTCTACAGAACACGCTCATTAATTATCTTTCCTCTTACATTATTTACTATTTACATTTCCTATTTTGTCGGTGAATGCGTGTTTTATGTCTGGCGGTTGTTTATTGCCGACACACCTGGTCCGAGCAATTGCATTACGTCAAATGAAACAACACTTTTAGAGTACTGCCTAGCCTGTTATTTCCATGTGTTGGGGTTGTGGTTGTTGTGGTTACTGTAGTTGTTGCTTTTGTGGTTGTTGTGGTTATTGTAGTTGTTGCTGTTGCGGTTGTTGACGTTGTTGTGGTTGAATTTTGATTGCATGAATCTTATGAATTGTGTTCTTGTGTTGACTATCAGTGGGATTTGTAACTACGTAACGGTAGAGTTCTTAAAATTTTACGTAAGACTTTTTACTGATTGTTGAATATTTGAATATCATCACATGGGTGAGTTAGTTTCATTGAATTGAACATTTTTTAAATGGTTTATTATAAATTTTTATTGAAGCAACGTATTATTTCAAGAGGAAATTGCCTTCTAAACTGTTTAATAAAAAGTTTATGTTCGGTATGTTAGAGTAGGTTGTTGTTTGATATACGAAGCAATGTATCAGTAGCAGTGCTTGTTTGTGGCGCGTCAGTGTGGTTGTCACGTATATGTTGCATGTG